TATATACCATAATGATACTTGGACCCTTTGGGTTTGTTCCTGTGTGGAAGGACTCGGTGTAGCATCTGAACTGAAGATGCAAGTGTTGAGTTGTGTCCCCACCATAACCTGAACGCACAACTGCCCCTTCATGCATTACGGTCTTCTGAAGACCTGCAAAGTCCAGAGAATACCCGAGCCTGTACTCCTCGTGCAAAGCCTGTAATTCCGAAGGTTGGCACGAATCCTTTAAGCACAGATGCTTCAAACTTTATGAAGCCAAAAGCCCCGCTAAAGCTCCCTACACATGCTTGCAGCGCCGAGACAAAGTTGGGAAAAGGATTAAGGCCAAATAGTGCTGGGATTCCCTATACATTACTCTTAAGGATTGAGGTTACCGGGTGTCCAACTTTGGGGCTTCTACTGTAGGTCCTCATGCAGCCTCGGCCACAGTTCCTCGAGGACGCGGAAAGGGTGGAGGGGCAGACGTGCAATGAAAACTGTGTGGGGTTTAGGGTTGCGGGTTTAGGGTTTAGGGTTAAGGGTGCTAGGAATGAAGATTGCAAATGAAGTACCCGCTAAACCCAACACCACCAGAATCCTATAATTAGCCCTCTAAACCTGGATAATGTTCGCAGGAGAAGACGGCTAATGATTATTAGAGCACTTTGGTAATTTTGCATTGTCTATAATTCTCGACAACCCATCCAGACCATGGAGGCCACCATACTAAAACACACGGCCGCCATAAGACCCGTGTCGAATGTCAAAGCACCTAGTTCGACTGTTCCGAGGCCCCTACGTTGCAGCCCCAACAATCTTGAACCATACCAACATGTCATATCACCAAGTTTATGACTTGAGAGTATACCTAGACCGTTACATCTAGCGTTTGTTTGATGACTGCTTCTATTTTTATGGTTGCCCATAGGCTCCAAAGTAGTTCCTTCTTGAGATTACCCTATAGGATTCTATATATGAACCCCCAAAAGGAACTACTTTGGAGCCTCTTGGTAGGATCCTGTAGCTGTAACCCAAGAAAGGTACCACATTCAAGCTACAGGTTAAACCTCAAAGAACGCTGACAGAAGCCTCAAACTCTAAACCCCCAGGTCCCCACACCCGCACGCCCCTAGACCCTAACCTCACACCCTAGATTTTATACCCTGAAACCCCACAAACCCTGAAACGTAAGATACCCAAGGCCCTAAACCCATTCCAAAGCTCTCAAAAGGAAACCCTAATCAGTTACACCCCGAAATCCTAAGCCCTAAACCCCCTGCCGGCCGCCTCAAGCTTTCTGGGTGATCCCGGAGCGTGGCATAAGGCCCTTATAGGAATCCTTATAGGAACCCTAAAGGGAACCTTTGATTATAAGTTCCCCTTTCCCTTTGAAGGGGGCTTGGGTCTTGCCCTATAACCCTAAACCCCTAAACCCCCTTAACCCCCTAAACCCTAAACCCCCTAAACCCCCTAAACCTCCTAAGCCTAAACCCTTAAACCCTAAACCCTAAACCCCCTAAACCCCCTAAACCCTAAACCCCCTAAACCTCCTAAACTCCCTTACACCCTAAGCCCCCCTAAACCCCCTAAACCCAAAGTTTTTCTTTGAAGGGGTTTCGGCTCGGCCAAAATAGGAGCTTCCGAAAATAGGGGACCCTAATATATAAGTAACCTAAATAGTAGAATCCCTAGTATAAGTACCCCCCATAATAAGGTACCCCCTATTTTCGGAAACCCCCAAAATGGAAACCTGTCAGGACTTCCCCGAGCAGGCCTTGGACTTCTGGGGCTCCTTAAATGGGATCCCTGAAGGGATCCTTAAAGGGCTCCTTAAAGGGATCCATAAGGGGTTTAGGGTTTAGGGGTTTAGGCTTTTGTGGCTTGGGGGCTTCGGGGGTTTATGGTTTCGTGTTTAAGGATTTCGGAGCGGAAGTGCTCAGAGGTTTAGGGGTTAGTTCGGGTCTGGAGTTTCGGGTTCCTCTTGTCTGTAAGAAACGATCCCCGCATCCTATTCTGATCCTTAAGCCCTCCTAGTATCTTAGGGACCCAAAAAGCACATAAGCATAAGCATTCTATGGGGATATCCCTACCTTATTGGGCTTCATTATAAGGGGGTTTATATGAGATATCCCTATCCTATTTTTTGCTTATGTGCTTTTTTGGGTCCCTAGTATCTACTCTCCAGATGGTCCATCGGTGCGACCATTTCCCGAACTTATGAGCCTTCTGGGGCTTACGGTTGTAAGGTTCCAGGAGCCTGGCACTGGGTGGTGCGGTTTACAATAAAAAAGCGTTTATGGAGTGTTTTCGGAGCATTGTTGGAAAGCGTTTTGGCAGCAGTTCCTGTGCAGAGAGCGTTTGTAAAAAGCGTTTTGGTTGACATGTTTGTATGTGTGTGTGCGCCTTGTTGCTCTGTCCACCAGCCCGCTTTGCCGTGCGCAAGCATCATGCGCATCATTACCTCCCGCCCTCCCCCCTCCCGCCCTCCCCTCCCCCTCTTCTCGCCGTGGTTCGTTCCTTCCTTCCCTCCCAACCTCCGGAACTAAACGCCCCGTGAAGGCTCCGGAAACGCTACTGGACCCGAAAACGCTCCAAAAACGCTTCCTCAGTCCGAAAACGCACCGAAAACGCACCAAAAACGCTCCCAAAAACGCTCCGAAAACGCTCCGAAAACGCTCCGAAAACGCTCCAAAAACGCTCCAAAACGCTCCCCTAGCCCTAGCTTAAGTGAAGTCATAATATGTAAATAGCAGCCTAAATAAATTCCTACTATTTAATACAAATCTGATTCTTCAGATCAGATATCTGAATTTTTAAATCAGCTCCGAAAACGCTCCAAAAACGCTCCGACAACGCTTTGCCGAATGCTCTGGGAAAAAAACCATGTGCGAAAACGCTCCGAAAACGCTTTCTTGGAAACGCTTCCAAAATCCAAAACGCTCCGAAAACGCTTTGCGAGAGACGCAAGGTTAGGGAAGGGTGCGGAGCCGGGGGTTGACGTGGGGAGATATTTAGTAAGCTTTCCAGGATTCGGGGCTTGGGGCTTATAGGGTTTAGGACCGTCTCTGAAGCTACTTCATGCCACTGACAATCCGATGGCTAAACAAAACGCTTCTTCAGAACACACCTGCCCCAGCAAACGCTCCCTGAACGCTTTTTCGAAACGCTTCAGAAATGCTTTAGAAATGCTTTTTAATCATGTCGATAGTTTCCAATCCAAGGCTGCCTCAGAACCTCATAAGCTTACGGCCTTGAAGATTTCAGGGTGGTATGTCTCCCTCTTGAATCCCATGAAACCCTATAGCAACTTGTTGCCTTATGGAAGAATCTGGGAGAACCCTTTAAACACGTTTGTGAAGAGTTCCATTAAGTGGAGATTTCTGTGGTTCTCAACCCTGATCACCATCAAGCACATAGTTTGGGGGTTTTGACGGCATAGCGCTTCAATTTCAGAGAATGGAAAATACCAACTACTCCTGTGGTTACCGATCAAATTTACCCCTTATGCTCAAAACCAAACCATTGTAGAACCCCTTTCAAATAATCTTTTGCACTAAAACTATATACGACCCTGATGGACGCCCTGACAGGAAGTGGTTAAAGGAACCTTTCGAAGGAAGCCTTGTAGGAACTGTTGAAAGGAACCCTTGAAGGAGCCCTAGCTTATGGGCACCCTTTAAAAGAAATCCTTTAAGGAACCCTAAACCCCAAGCCCTAAACCCTAAGGCCTGAACTACTAAGGCCCCGATGAGCCCCAAGCCCTAAACCCTAAACCCCAAGTCCTAAACCCCTAAACCCTAAGCCCCTAATTAAACCCTAAGACCCTAAACCCTATACCCTAGCACTCTGCAGCTGAGGTTTCGTGAGCCCGAAGCCTTAAACCCCAACCGTACAGTCTCGCAGGCGCGACGCCTGGAGCCGACTCTCCGAGAGTTCCCTCTGCCCGAGGGCCGGCTCTTCGGGAAGGCAGAGCTGGATGTATGGGGAGTTTAGGGCTTAGCTGTTTGTTTCGGGTTTTGCAGGATTTAGGGCTCTGCAACAAAGATCATGTCTGTATACTGATAATTATACTGTTACTGACAAGCGCATTTACGGGACTTACAACCTTACTTACTTAGTCCTTATCGGCTCGTAGGTTATAGGTGTTTGTCTTGCGGATTTGCAAGTTTTGCAGGCGTTCTATTATGTGGCTCTTTTGGGAGGGTCAAGGGTTTGGGTTTAGGTTTTGGGCAGCATCCTGAGATGTGCATCGCTGACGTGGATGGGTGCAAGAGCCGCAAGAGAAATTTCGCCTTTTTGTTGGCCCTGTCATTTCCTGGGCTCTTGTTAACGTGTTAAAGGATTTAAGATAAAGTTAACATAACCATCATGATAATAGGGGTCTGTACATAACATGGTTTCCTTATGGCGGTAATTTAGCGTAAATATTCTAGCAGAACCTAGCTTCGGATTCCGGATTCCGTAACCCTGAGGGTCCAAAGGGCCCAATATTTAGGTACTTGGGCTTAGGATGATTGTTATGTAGGTTAGTATTTTAACTTTGGAGAGTATATGAGTATCAGGCACTTAGACCCTCGGGGTAAAGGTATGGAAAATGCAAGGGAGTAGCGGAGCGGAGATTACTGTTGTGATTGAGCTCAGGGACGTCACCTGGATCAATGACCTGACAGGGGTTGAGGGGTTTAGGGGTTTAGGGTTTAGGGTTCAGGGGTTTACGGGTTTAGGGTTCAGGGGTTTAGGGTTTAGGGGCTTAGGGGTTGAAAGCGCTATTCATGAACGAACTGTTCTGCTGGAAGGGGTGCAACCGTCAGCATCACTGAAAGCAGATGAGATGCAGCATCAACTGTGCAAAGATCTACATGCAATGCATGGCTCAAGTCGGAAAGTAGGCTGCAAATTTTGTGGCTGTCATGTCCTGCGGCTGTAGGTGGGTTCTCTATGGCTGCTCGCTCGCTTGAGTGTTTCTGCAAGCACAGGAGTTTTTGGTTTCCGCCTGTGCCCAAAGAACTGTTCAGGCTATGCGGGCCTCCCCTTCCAAAAAGAAACGTGACGCAGCAAGAGTGACTGCGCACTGGCAGCATGCGGCCCAGCAAGAGACGCTGACCCATGTTAAGTGCCGGGGGTCTTTTAGATCTGCCTCCAGTCGGGCAGCGGCCAGGAAGCGGCGTTTGACATGGCTCGCATGGCGCGCTGATCGGCATGCTGATCTTCCTACGGACAGGGTCTGGCTTCTTGACCGTCTAAGGGCAGCCGCGAAAACAGGAACCGGAACTTACGGCGCCTTTGTTTCTGCCTTCTCCCCGCGAAAGAAGTCTGGCCGTCAGCGAGATTGCTTTCCGCTTGCTCCAATCACGGCGCTGGACTACAAACCGGGCGATGTCTGCACTTTGCGATGGGCGGTCATTCGTGGCTTTGTGAACCTGCTCTTGACGAGTCTGAACTGGCTTTTCGGGGTGTCCACGACGGCACGCGCTTGCCAACCACACACAGCAGCGCAACAGTGCATCATCAAGGGCATTGTCTCTCGGGTGATGGGTACAGTGGCGAGGCTACAGTGTGTGGTGGAGCAATCTTGGGAACACCAGTTGCCCGATTTCGTTCCTTGGATCGGGAAACCTGCAGCTGCGACCTTCCAGGACCTGGATGCTGATCGTGTTGACAACCTTTCTGTCGCCGGAGCTTGTGACCCTCTCCCACACTTACCTGCGGATGTGCAGGGAGTCGTACAAAACCCGAGGTACATGTTCGAAGGTGCACTCCCTGGCTTGGAGCAGTTTGAGGACTTCTCGGCGGGCTCGAGGGATGAGTATGCACGGCTCGTGGTCAAGCAGTTACGATGTGGTAAGCTTGGTTTGTCTACTCGTTGCAAAGGTGGTGGCGCTTCCTTCGCAGTGGGAAAACCTGGCGGCAATCGGCTTCGGGAAGTTTGGCACGGACGACGTGTGTCTCAAGCGGCATGCGGTCCGCCCAAACCGCGCCATCTGGCTTCACCAACTGCTTTGGCTCTGCTGGAATGCTCCAAGGACTGCCCCATTCGTGTCAGCAAACGCGATGCTTCCTGTTGGTTTGACCAGTTGAAGCTTCCAGTCGTCCTTCGCGAATACATGGCGAAGCCGCCCCTCACCACTGAAGAGTTGGAGCGGGCGGGCATGCCATGTGAAGAGCAGCAGTTTCACATGGAAGCTGGGCAGGCTTGGCGTGCTGGCTCTCTCTTTCCATTGCACCATGTGTGGCCCATGGGTTTTGCGTGGTCCTCTTACATTGCTCAAGAAGAGATGCTGATGGTTTGCGACAAGGCCGGCATCCCAGAAGCATCGCTGTTGTCGTGCGACTCTGAAACTCCAAGCTCTTTCCGTCTGGCTGCAGCAGTTGCGACTGACGATGTGATGCTATTCAGCAATGCTGGGCCCGGTGCCACTTTGGTTGCAGCCAGTGCTTTAGACAGTGAAATGGCTTCTCAGGGTGTGGTGCGCAATGTCAAGAAAGACGTGAATGACCAGCTCAACGCCACGTGTGTAGGTGTCGACTTGGTGGACGGGTGTTTTCTTGACATTCCAGCCACACGGTTGCTGGCATTGCTCGTGTCTTACTTCTTCGTGCATTCTACAAAGCGCGCCTCGCCAAAGCAAGTTCACCAGCTACTCGGAACCCTTCAGTGGTACGACTTGCTGAACAGGCCCAAGCTGTCGGTGTACGACGCCGTCTACAGGTTCACTGGCGACAGGGAGGACACGGTTGTGACAACGATTCCGCCTGATGTCCTTGGCGAGCTGGCTTGCAGTGTTTGCCTGGGCGTTTTCTGGCGATGTGACCTGACGCGACCTTTTATTCCACTGCTTGGGGCAACAGATGCTAGCACTGTGTTTGGTCTAGGCGCTTCGGTGGCCCATACTTCCGAAGTGGTGGCACGAAGAGTGGCCCGCTGGGCTGAAAAACAAGGAGCTTACCTTGTCATGGATGGAGGTTCTGCTGACACCGCCCGCTCTGGGCCACGTCATCAGCTGAACGTCAGCCTCGGCGACTTCTCAGATGTATTCAGCACTCGGGCGAGATTCCCGGGGCATATTAATGTTCTGGAAGGCGAGGCTTTTGTGCTTTTCTTGCGCTGGCTTCTTCGGACTCGCAGGCACCACAGCAAACGCGTGGTGGTCCTGCTTGACTCTGCCGTCTGGGTTGGTGCGGCGGCGAAAGGTCGCTCGTCATCGCGGTTGAACCGATTGCTGCGAAAAACAGCAGCCCTCACGCTGGCGGGCGATCTCCAGCTGCACATGATCTTGGTGCCTTCGGCAGAAAACCCTTCCGATGCCCCTTCTCGGGGAATCAAACGTCGCCGCAAGAAGTGCAGGTAAGCTCCTGAAGTGGCTGGCTGGTGGAAGTCCTGCTTTCATAAGCATGATGTGCATCCTTCTTCTGGCCCTGATCTTCAGCATTTTTTTGGAATTACTTCATTTTTGATATACGGTTTTGGAAACTGTCTTCACTCGGTTTTTGGCGCCCGGGCACTTCGCGATGGAGCTCTGCAGATGGCAGTGCTTTACTTCGACAAGTTGCTGGTAGAGGCTTGGTGCTGACGTCAACAACTCGGGTCACTGCGAGTCGGCTCCGCTCGTAGACACGTGGTGCTAGGGCTGGTCTCTTTGTCTGAGGACATGACTGTCACCTTGTGCCATTGGTTATTCTTAATTTGCGGCTGCGTATGCTGCGCCTCCGCAGCCAGTACCGGTGGGTGGGCTTTCTGTGAGCACTTGTGCTGCTGTGAACAGCAGTCACAGGACAGATGTGTTCTTGCAAGCTTTCTACCTGTCCGGCAGTTTCCTCAGCATCCGTCCAAACACATGTGCTGCAATCCGTCAGAGGCTGGGTCGAGAAGTGCAGGCTCATGAATGAAAGCGCTATTCATGAACGAACTGTTCTGCTGGAAGGGGTGCAACCGTCAGCATCACTGAAAGCAGATGAGATGCAGCATCAACTGTGCAAAGATCTACATGCAATGCATGGCTCCAGTCGGAAAGTAGGCTGCAAATTTTGTGGCCCCACCCTCCCGAGTCCCTTTGTACAGCAGGGGCTTTCTGTGAGCACTTGTGCTGCTGTGAACAGCAGTCACAGGACAGATGTGTTCTTGCAAGCTTTCTACCTGTCCGGCAGTTTCCTCAGCATCCGTCCAAACACATGTGCTGCAATCCGTCAGAGGCTGGGTCGAGAAGTGCAGGCTCATGAATTAAGGTTTAGGGTTTGTTGTGTGACAACTTGTGTCGCACCTGTAAGCAGTGTTCTTGGAGCCGAAAGTGATGCTTGTTCGGGTTGTGGACCTTGCCTCAGGTCTCCATTGCAGTTGTTTGGCCGGCCAGTTCTATTTTTGTGATGCTGGAATGAAAACACACTAAGCACAAAAAAGAACTACCATTCAGGCTGACTATCATGAGGGGTAGCCTTAAGCCTGTGGTGAAGAGACCGGCAGGGAGTGACATTGACGAAGACTGTAATGAGCCACAAACTCGATGGCCGATAGAATCCCAGTGCAATTAGGCGACGGGTGAATACCTAGAGGCTACATAGTAGTTCGTTTTTGTGAATCATATATAGAATCCTATAAGGTGTCCCCAAAACGGAGTTACTTTGGAGCCTATGGCCGGGCTTCCTGACTGTGTTTCAGGGGTTTACCGCTTTAGGGTTCAGGGTTAGCCCGAAATCCTAAACACGACACACTAAGTCCCATAAACCCTAGCCTCTAAACCCTAAACCTCTAAAGCTTTAAGACAAAGAAACGAAACCCCAAAGCTACGGTAGCTACAGAAGAGGGCCAGAGGCTTGCAGTCCCCGAGCCGAGGCTCCATGTATCCGTAATAATCCTTTACGAGGTTCCTGGAAGAGTTCTTATAGGGTGTAGTTAGGATTTAGGGTTTAGGGTTTAGGGTTTAGGGTCTAGGGGTTTAGGGTTTAGGGTTTAGGGGTTTAGGGTTTAGGGTTTAGGGGTTTAGGGTTTAGGGTTTAGGGTGTAGGAAAGAAGACCCTATGTCCCCATGTGGCCATATAGCACATACTTACTTACCTGAAGTGGCTTGATGTATAGGTACTTCAAGACCTAGGTATATACCACATAGGTACATGGAGCCTAATAGTTGTTGCAGTTAGGGTAAGCATACCGGCAAAACGAATCTAGCTTCAACGTTCAGCCTACTCAAAGACCTCAAACTAGGGGGATGTATTGAAAACATCCCCTTATTGTCTCTATATATCTTTAGACTATTCTTACGTACCTCAGAACCCTCTAGTGACCGACTATTTCGGCACTTGTAGGTGAGTGCATGATTATTCGGTACTTGGGCCGTCAGGGTAAGCCGTAAACAGGACGGCAAGATGAAACTGCTGTACCTCCATGGCGGTGGCATCAACCTGAAGATTGCGCAGCTCCAGTGCCGCGGCTGTGTTCACCCAATAGATATGAGATTACGTAGTTTTGTGGGGTTGTTCTAGTTCATCCAATCAAGAACCTACTACGTGGCGGGGCATTTTTTGGAGAGATTTGAGGTTGCAGTATAGCAGTATACATGTGGATAGGAGTCTGATAGAAGAGTTTGAGGAGCTAGTGTTCTTCGGCTTCGGAGAGATCCTGTGTAAACCGGCCAACATAAGAACATCGTACGCATATCTAATTGAAGGAACATACCTGCGTTGGGGAGTGTTGGAGTGTCTGGACACAATTGGAGTCGCATCTCTAAACTGAGGAGCAAGGGTGTGGTGGTTTGGGTATAGAGGTTTATGGTTTAGGGGTTCAGGGGTTCAGGATTTAGGGGTTTAGGACCAGAGGTTTGATAAGGGCGCAGTCCTAGGCCGTCTTGAACTAAAATTTAGTGACCTCCATTAGCTCACCACTCCACAAACTTCTGAAGACAATACTTCATACCAAGAAATTCCAAAAGATTCCATGGAGCCCTCAAAACAGAACTGAAAGTCCCGAACACTCGAGCCACTTAAGGTTTAGAGGGTTTTAGGGTTTAGGGTTTTAGGGTTTAAGGTTTTAGGTTTATAGGCTTGTCACCAAGCATTGCATCCCAGCCCCTCCAGGCCCCTAAACCCCCAATGCCCAAACTCCGAACCCAAACGCCCAAACCCGAATGAACAAAACCTGTTACACCCTGAAAAGGAGGCCCTTAGCAAAATGCAAAAAACAGCACCCAAAAGCCCCCTCTTAGGGTTTATAGGGTTTATGGTACCCAAAGCCCCGAATTTCGTTGGTTCCATGGAGGACTAGCAGTTTGCTGAGAGACCTTCCTATGCGAAAGGACAGCTCGGCTTCGGGTTTGGATGTTATCAGGTTTTTCCGTAGAGTAAAAGCCAGAAAGTTAGAATATGATTATCCTAAGCCCTTACCCTGAAACCATATTCCAACTTTCTGGAGTTCCCTTTAAGGGGTCTCTGAGGGCTTCTACAAGGGATGCACACGGCATGCAGGTTTGGTTCGAGGGGTTTGAGGTTTCTGGTCTCTAAACCCTAAAACCCTAAACCCTAAACCCTAAAACCCTAAACCCTAAACCCTAAAACCCTAAAACCCTAAACCCTAAACCGGTTTGAGGGGTTTGAGGTTTCTGGTCTTCCGGTTCAGAGTCTAGGGTTTTACAGCTCATTGTCTGAGCCCCTACCTAAAGGCTCGAGGTATTACATACAAGTATACTAGGATGCCCAGTAGTGCCCTTATTCCCTTTTTGTAGTCCTAGGTTCCTTATAAAGTTACCCAACACCAAAAAGAGAGGCCTTTTAATTCTTAGGTTACTGGGTATCCTAGTACATAAAAGTATACATACCAACTAGTAATGGATGACTACATCGGTTGCCATGCTGGAAGTAGGCCACCAATACCTTAGTGAGGATGGTCTCGTTGTACTAGAGCACGTGGACATGTTGCCAAACAGCCCGGCGCAGTGAGCGAACAAAAGACTGTTATACCGCTGAATTTATAGGATGCCTGGTATTAAGATGTTCGGAGTTCTCCTGCGCGTTAGCCTGTATGTCGGGGCTTAGTGCGCGGGGTGCCGCTTTCGAGTTCTTGAGTGCGAGTATACAGTCTAGAACACAAGACTGCTTTATGCTTAGTTCGTTCGTTAGTTTGTTCTTGTTTGTGTGTTTGTTCTGGGGGCTAAGTCCGTTGGTGTAGTAGAGTTTTGAGATAAAAGAGTTGTGGCTTCAGGGGCTTGTAGCTTCTTCCCCAACCTACCAAACCCTACCTTTTTGTAGGTTCTTATTATAAATCCTAATCTGGAATTTATAGGGACCCTACTTTTTTGTAGGTTTTGGTGGCTTCTTGGCTTTGGGGCTCCAGAAGCTCCCATAGCCCAAACCAGACGCCCCAGAAACAGCGCCTCGGTTTCAGCAGGGCTGTGTTGCAATTTCGGAACGAAGTCTCGATCGGTGTAGGGTTTACCCAAAGGCCCCAAAGTGTTGCCGGTCATATATAGAATCCTATAAGGTAATCCCTAAAAGGAACTACTTTGGGGCCTCTGGGTAGGAACTATCACCATGTATAGTCACGGTGTGCAGAATAAATATGCTGCACACTGCAGATCACTCGCAAGATGGCGCGTTGAACAGCAAATGCAGGTGTAAGTACACTGCGTTGTTTCGTAATTCATAAAGTGGTGTCACGATCAGCATTGCTGTTACCCCAAGGGTCCAAGCACCCAACACTCACACACTCTCCAAAATCCTAACCTACATAACTACTATCCTAAAACCGAGTAATTACCTAATTATTGGGTCCTTTGGACCCTTGGGGTTATTTGTAACATTATTTTATTTCAGGTCCCAGGGAGTCGAATCGGCCCGGTTTTCCTCAGCAAAAACAGCACAACCCTCTGTATAACTCCCGGATCAAGATGTCAGGGTGGCCGGCTGCATCATGCAGCTGCCTCTTCAGGGTTTGAGGCCAACGTCTTGCATCCTGAACTAGAATGCCCAAGTTCGATCATTTATCAAGGTTTAACATCGTGAGCCCTCCACACTTACCTTGGGTTAGTAGGGAAGGGAGGCATGGGGTACAGCTATAATATAACTACTATTACTACCGTTCTTCATTCCCTACTAACCAAAGGTAAGCACATCGATCCTGAAAGGGTGTAATGTCTAGGGAGCTTACGCACTCAAAGGATGCTTCAAGACTCTAGTCTAGGCAGAGAAGGAACATCACGTTTAAGAGCATCTTTATGGTGCTCTAAAACCCTGTTAAACCCTAAACCTAAAACCCTAAAACCCTAAACCCTAAACCGTTACAAAGCGTAAACCTTAATCCTCGAATCCCAAGCGCCCCAAACTCCCGGCCCGCAACAGGACATAGAATGGATTCATTGGCCTGGGCCGTGGCATGGCAGCAAGATGAGTTGCCCTTGCTGGTCGTAACATGTTGAATCATGTGATTGACAATTGCAGTTGGAGCTTTTGAGCATGGGAGGGACATGGAATACTGTGGAGGGCCGCTCCAAACTGATGGGCTTCCGCCGCATCTGGTCCAAAAGTTGTTCTTGCACAGCGCGGCAACAGGCACAAAGCCATGCGGCCTGTGTCGATCGCGCTGGCCGTCAGCAAGTTGGCAGACACCCGCCGCGAGGACTGCAGTGTGGCCGGCACTGTCGTCGAAAACGCCGAAGTGCGTAGCCTGCCACAGAATGCTCCCGGCCAGCATGCCGGATGAAAAACAGTTCCCACTGAGCGTCCAGGCCGGAGCAGGCCACGCTGGTGTCACTGACGGCAGCGGCTACCGTCAATCTGGGCAGGACTCGGCAGAGGCCATGGAGCTCTCCACAAGGATGGTGGCAAGGTTGGTTGGCATGCCCATCCAGGCCCTCGTCACCAGTGACGAGACAGGGAGTAGGGTCGATTTCCAACTCATCAGCGGAGGGAAGCTTTTCTGCCTTACAGAGCCGATGGCCTTGGATGCCATGTTGAAAGACCTCCGAGGCGCCGTGGAAACGGCGCTGGGCCTAAGATTGAAAAGAGTCACTGCCTTTTCCGAGCATGACCCTTCCAATCTGCTCGACGACTCTTGCGAGCTGAAGAAGTACAACGGCAAGTCACTTGTGCTTACATTCTATGATGACTTCGGAGATTGTCGCAGGTTTCTGCAAGCGATGGAAACCGAAGCCTTCAATCCCCAATCGGAAGGCTTCAATGCTAAGTGGACTTTGAAGGCTTTCGCGAGCGAGCCGGAGGTCAGAGCTGGAGACGTGATAAATTTTCTGCAGACCCTTGGGGTGCCAGAAGGCAAGACCGTCGACTTCATGCAGATCTTTGGGCGACTCACATCGATGGCAGAGCAGTGGAACATGTTCTGCCTTGCTCTTCTCCAAAACTTTGATCCTGGGTTGCGCACCTTCAAGCATTTCATGTGCCAGCACTGGCTGCAGCTAGCAAAAGACTCGGTCACGCAAAAGGTGCCTCAAAGCCCTTCCCCTGTCTTTCTTCCACGCGTGAATGAGCGTGCAACCGTTTTCGACACAAAAATGTTCTCTGTTGATGGCTGCTTTCCCACGATGTTCCCCGCACACTTGATACACACGCTGAAAGTGAACGACGCTGAGTGCATTGGGCATTCCATGCTTGCGTGTGCATCCTTGAACTCTGACTGGTTCACCGGCCAGTGGGTGGAAAAATACAAAGAAGCTGTTCAGACAGATAAGGAGTTGGAGCAGGGTGGGCCATTGAAGCGACATGATGTTGTGAGGATGATGCATGTGCAGCTGCGGTTGTCTTGCGGCATCCGCGTCGTGGAAGTTGAAGGGAAACTGCACATTCCTTTGCTCCAGGGTGCGGCGAAGTTGCTGCAGTGGCACTTGGAGGAAGTCACTCAAGGGAGCGGAGACCTTGGACTTCAGCATGTGTTAAGAGATCTTCTCGCAGATGCAAAGAAAGAGGTGCAGCAGCTCGCCATGAGAGGGGTACTGATGCTGGTGCATCTTTCCTCCAGCCATACGCAAGATGATCTCAGGCTTTGCCGGAGCTTGAGCGAGATGTCCGTCCGCTTCATCCTCTGTTCTCCGGAGGCAGCGCCCGGAGCGGCAGGGGCGATCGACGCTGGAGCGCCAAAGTGAGAACGCCTGCTCTTCGCCCAGACGCTGATTTCGATCCGGAATGGGGTCATCCTTGTGCCAGGACTGAACGAGGTTTCCATCCCCGGCAACCCTAAACAGCCCCAAAAAAGAGTGTCGCAAGTCCCGCTGCATTTCAGTACGAACCGTCCTTGGGTCTCCGGTAGCACTTCCGCTTGAGAGCACAAAGCTTAACCTTGATGTCAGGCTAGCAAAGAGAGAGCTCGACGCCTGGAGCACTGTGTTCCGTTGCCTTCCATACCCCGTAACCCGGGCCCAAGGGACTCAATGCTTTGTTCGAGTTTGGGCTCGGCATGCCTCAAGCCCTCAAACCTGAAGCCCCAAACCCTAAATTTCCGAACCCCAAAGCCTCCCACCCTAAACCCTGTAAACCCTAAAGCCCCTAAGCCTAGGCTGCAAGCCCGAGGTCGTAGCCACATCAACCCTCACACTTTCAAGCCCTAAAGAGTTCCAGGGATCGGGGTTCAGGGTTTCGGGGTTTGGGGTTTAGGGTCTAGGGTGTTGTATGGATGTTTGCGGGTCAGTGCGTAAACTGTGAGCTTCCTCGTGCTCAAGAGAGCAAAAACTGAACCGACGAGAAAGTTTTCGATTAAACTAACCTAGCTTTGTTTGCAGGTTCAGGTGGTTATAGACCCTAATACAGAAGCTGTATGGCCTCCTACGAAACACTGGGCCTTCTTAGTTCAAGGTGCAACGGTACAGTTTCCGGCAATACCCCGGGCCCTCGAACCGAACCCCAAACACAGAGACTCTGCTCGCAACTAAAGCAAGCTTCTCTCATGTACAAAACTACCTCATCCCTTCATGAAAACCCACACAGTGAAACCTTGAGCACAAAACCCTGAAGACATAAATCCCAAACCCTGAAATCCAGGCATCACGTGCCTCTGGGTTGGAACGGCGATTGGTCCCTTGAAGCTTTCGGCCCGGACTTTAATGCCACTCGGATGTCACAGCCTGCGCAGAGCGTTGGAGTTAAGGGTTTGGGGGTTCAGGATTCAGAGGTCTGGCCAGACTTAGCGTTTACACGACCCTTAAAAAGGAATATACCTTAAATTATAAGGGGATTCATACTATGATTTAAGCTATATTCCTTCATTAAGGGGTATACAGGATTGAAGGATTTCCGCTTGCTTGCTCGATTCCAGGTCCTGTGGGTCTACGGTTTAGGGCTCAGGGTTCGCAATCGCTTTGCTGTCTTAGTTTTCGGGTGCAGGGTTCAGGGTCTACAGTTGAGAATTTTAGCATTGAGAAGTTCGTCCAAGATACCCTAGACAAAGAGGAAAGTACTTTAAGTCAACCCTACATGTAAACTAAACCCCAAACCCCAGGATTTTTCTTCTAGTTCAATGGTTCAGGGTTTAGGGTTTAGACCCAGTGTCCCTTTCAGTATTAAACTTAAGCCCATCATCCGAACTTTTCGCCGATGCTGCTTTCAGGTGTAAGCCCGAAGCCCCAGATCCCATCTGAGGGTCACATGCGAAGTTGAAGCTTTTGCAGCAAGAACAAGGCTGAGTACCTGAGCTTGTAGACTTTCACATGTTGGGTTTTTCGTCAATCCTAGACCCCAATAGCACTAAAGCCCAAACCCCAAACGCCAGACATGTCCGCTTTTGCTCAAATTCAACAGGTGCAAGTGCATGACTTGGAGGATCTATTTGGGTCCAGGGAACATATACTTTCCCAGCTCGGTCTCCAAGTAGCTCCCAGTAGTATCCTTAGGCACTTTCACTTTTGTGGGTTTTAATTTGGGTGGTTTGCTTGATAGAACTGAGCATATTAGGAACACGGGTAATACCAGCCGGCGCCTGCTGCTGCTGCTGTGCTGCACGCATCTACAGACTGGGCACGTCGAGCCCATTCAAAAGTCGCAGTTCAGATGCATGTCTTCGCCGATGAGCTGGTGGAGTAAGTACCTATAGGCTCCATTGTAGTTCCTTTGTGTTGTTTTATAACTAGGATCTATAGTAATATGGTAATCCCGAAAAGGAACTACAATGGAGCGTACAGGCAGACCAGACACCCTCAAGGTGTTGCATCGCTCTCGTCTTTCAGGCCGTGGCCCTAACCCTAGACCCTCAACCCCACACCCTCAAACCTTAAACCGCTTGAATCCAACAGGTTCACGGGCCCGGGCATCCTGAACCGCAACCTGAACTCTCTTCTATTCAGAATTCAGAAGGTTCCGTGCTTATATACTCACTCCATGTTGAAACCAGCTCTCCCAACCCTGAACCCCAAACCCCGAAACCCTAACCCGTAAGCCCCACGAGCCTAAAGTACCTCTATAGATCCCCTGAAAGGGAACCCCAAAAAAATCCTTAAAGGAACCCCAAACCATTAAGCCCTACCTGTGGCCCAAAAGCGCTAACGTTTTAAGGAACTATATATAGAAACCCTAACCCTATGCCTCTAGGGACCTGATTATGGGGTCCTTAAGGGGTCTAGGGCCCTAACTATGAGGTCCCTGGAGGGATAGGGTAATAAGGAACCCTAAAAAGGTAGGCTAGGACCCAGAGTAGGCCCTTATACCCTTTTTGTATGGTTCAGGTTCTCTTACAAGCCCCTTTAACCCAAAAAGGGCACCCTTTTTATTCCCAGGTTACTGTTACGTCTAGTAGGCTTATTGGCTGTAAACTAAACTTTTCAACTTTTGGGGTTCTTATGAGGTGGTCGATTCTGAAAGTTTCAACTTTTATTCCCTTGGGTTTTGGGCCAGTGAGTAGGTTTTTTTAAACCCTAAACCCTAAACCCTAAACCCTAAACCCTAAACCCTAAACCCTAAACCCTAAACCCTCGGAGCCGAGGCCTATTTCGAACGCCTGCCCTACAATAACTGCCAGTTCGAGACTTGGGAAGGACGTTGAGGGTTGAGTGTAGGGTTTGGGGTTTACGGTTGAGGTTTATATATATATATATATATATAGAGAGAGAGAGAGAGAGAGAGAGAGAGAGAGATAGGGTTTGGGGTTTTGGGTTTAGGATTTAGGGTTTGGGTTTAGGGTTGAGGATTTAGGGTTTAGGGTTTATAGGGGGTGGGGTTTGGAGCTTGGGGTTTGGGGTTTGGGGTTTATTTTAGTTTTTGTCTTCTTTCCCTCCTTTTCGGGTTCCTTAAAGTGGGGTTCCCTACAGGGTCGTACAACGGCTAATTTCTGTTCAGGTTCCTTAAAAGGGGTTCCCGTACATGGTCATAAACGGGCTTCCACGGTTCGATACATAGCGTTCCTTCTCGGGATCCGAAAGGCGAAAAAGGTTGGAACAAGAGCAGGTTTCTGAGAATGCTCAGAAAGTGCCTTTACTAGGTTTAGGGTTTAGGGTTTAGGGTTTAGGGTTTAGGATTTACGTTCGAGCTGAACCGAAACTCTAGAGTACACAGATCAGATTCGCCAGGGCCAGCGAGCTCGACCTCCAAACCGCCGAAAACCCTTGAAGCCATCAAACCCAAACGCTACACTCCCTGTACCCATATAGCATATACTTCGGCCTTAAAGTACCCATATAGGGACCCCTTCAAGGCTTAAGTATCTACTATAAATGTACATGGAGCCTTCGGGACTCTAAACCCTAACCCCCAGCGCTCCCAGGGCAAGTTTGGAAGATCTCTTGAACCCCAAGTCATTAAGTCCTCTCAGCCGTTAAAGCCCTTAGTACCCAAGGGTGTCCCCTAAGGATACAGGGACATCTTGAAGAGCAAAGTAAATGGTAGTTTCCGAAAATGGGGGAGCCTCATATAGTACCCGAAATAGTCGGATCCTTAGTATAAGGACCCCAAAATCAGGTACACATATATATATTTTGGGAAACTCCCACATGGACCCTTTAGGGTCTAGAAAGTGCGACAAGCTCTATCAGCGATTCAGGGTGCGCTTTCAGAAGGCCCTACCACCCCGTAAACACCTAAACCCCTTACCCTCAAACGCGTAAACCCCCCGACCTAAAGCCCCACACCTGAAGCCCCAAACGTGGAGCATGTGTTAGTCTTTCGGGGCTGCTCTCTGCTATCTCTCTTCTCTTTTCTCTTTTCTGTCCCCTCTCTTCTCTCTTCTCTTTCTCTCAACTCTCGTCTATCTCGGACAGGATTCGATGAGACTTTGTCCAAGTTCAAGGATTTTGCTCGAGAGATGCTTGGCGGGCTCAGCTCATGCTTTGGGGCTTGATTGCTAGGCTTCAGACTTCAGGGTGTCGGGATTTCGGGCTTGGGGTTTAGGGTTTTGGGGTTTAGGGTTTAGGGTTTAGGGTTTAGGGTTTTGGGGTTTAGGGTTTAGGGTTTAGGGTTTTGGGGTTTAGGGTTTAGGGTTTTGGGGTTTAGGGTTCAGACTGCAGGATTTTGGGACTTAGTGTTTCGGGTTTAAACCAATTAGGGCTTTAGGATTTTGGGCTGCGCTTTCGTGTGAATTTTGAGAAAGCTTGGGGTTTCAGAGTTTGGCTTTGGGGTTTGGGGCTTAGGGTTTTAAGGGTTAGACTCTTCAATACAGGGGTCATGACCTAGCAATTTGTAGGAATTGGGCCGAGGGTTTTTGAGGAGTTTCGCAGTTCGGACTTTGGGTCTAAGCTTGAGGTGTAGAGTCTGGTCATGCAGACTGGGCATGCGGTTGTGTAACGTAGGAACCTGATGAAGACACCCTGGGCCTACAATCCCCTCAAAAAATAGTAGGGCTCATATAAGGAACCCTAAAAAAATCCCTAGGTTTCTTAATCAGGTTACTACATTACCCTAGGTTTCTTAATCAGGTTACTACATTACCTCAAACTACCACAACCTAGTTTTTTTGCAGGTTCTGACTCTTAAGGTCGGGCCTGGGGCGCCTAGGGCATAGTGATCAGGGTTCCAGTTAGGGTTTAGGGTTTAGAGGTTTAGGGTTCTTAGGGTTTAGGGGTTTAGGGTTTAGGGTTCTTAGGATTTAGGGTTTAGGGTTCTTAGGGTTTAGGGTTCTTAGGGTGCAGATTGGGCATGAGGTTGCGTACCTAAGTGCTTGAAGTTTCTGCTTCAGGGCTTCGGAATTTAAGGCTTGCCGTTTCGGGAGTGGTTCATGGTTACCTGGACCCTAAAGAACCTACCTTTTTAGGACTCCTTGCTATGATCTTTAAATAGAGTTCCTTAAGAAGGTAGGATATTTAGATCCAGGTAGGGTTTAGGGTTAATATAGCAACAGGGTTCTGGGCTGTTTTATTGTATAATCACCACCACCTGCCAACAGGTACCGCTGTCTGACACCACCTAGCACCAACGATGCATGTGCTAGGGTTTAGCGGTTAGGGTTCAAGGGTTAGGGTTTAGGGGTTGTAGGATTTAGTGGTTTAGGGGTTTAGGGTGTTTAGGGTGTTTAGGGGTTTAGGGGTTTAGGGTGGGTCTGTCACAGGAACGGCCCCTTTGACGGAGTGGTCGGCTTCGATCAGGGAGGCGAGTTCATTGCTCAGGCGCCACAACTAGAGGGTGGGGTACTAAAGGGGCCCCAGGAATTACCGAAAGTTTAGGGGATTTAGGGTTTAGGGCTTAGTTTAGGGGTTTAGGGTCTGGTTTAGGGGATTTCGGGGCAATTAATCGGGGGTTCCTTACTTCATTATAGTGTAATGCGCTCCAAAACCCTATTCTAATTATTTTTGTCACCGACATTCTAGGAGTTGGGTCTGGGATTTTAGGTTCAGGGTTTAGGGAGTTTTGTGTTCAGTTTTGGTGTTGGATCGAACGCTCTGATGCAGCCGGGCTTTGTTTAACCAGGGTTAAACCCCAGCCCTAGATTAAAGCCGGTTTTCCGGACAGGTGGCATCCCGGGCCAACGAGGGCGACGAGTCCTTGTCGGAGGCATTTTCCAGTCTAGGGCTTAATTAAGGTTTACCTGAAGCTGCCATAACCGACTTTTCTGTAGCTTCATACCATAAACCACCGGTAAGGAATTTATAGGGACCCTGCAAAACAGCAGGTTCTGATATGTTCAGCTTTAGGCTTCAAAATATAGAAGTCTTACAGCCTCAGAAGGTTCAGGAAGCTATCCGACGGGGGTTGTTCGCGAAATTCGTCCGGGTGTTTTGGGTTGCGGGGTTTAGGGAGTGTTGTTTTGTTTCCGGGCTTGGGGGCTTGTTTACGGCTTTGGAGATGAGGTGATGTAAAGCAACGAGGAAAAGGGGGGACCCTTAATGGGGACCCCTACCCTATAATGGGCTATATAACGGGTCTATAATGGCTTTCTTAAGGATATATACCCAGGGGGTCCTTATTAAGGGTCACATGGCTTCGGGTGTGGTGCTCGGGGCCTTCGGTGTTTGCATAGTTGTTTTCTTGTGCGAAATCCGTGGGATCGGACAACCCTACCGTTTTAAGGGCTCTTTCTACCTTCTAACTAAGGGGGTCATAACCTACTATTCTGTAGGGTTTGGGGACACCTTAACCCACCAAAACCTACTTTTTGGTAGGGTCCCTGTAAAATCCATATTACGGATTTTCCGTACCTACAAAAGAGTAGGTTTTGGTAGGTTATAAGGTACAGGATGATTTGAAGGGGTGAGGCGTTATCTAGCCGTCCCCCGAAAAGCCGAGTCAAACAGACGACTGTTGGGACCCAAAAAGCACATAAGCATAAGCATTATATCGGGATATCCCCACCTTATTGGGCTTCATTATATGAGGGTTTATATGGGATATCCCTATCCCAATTTTTGCTTATGTGTTGTTTTGTTGTAAGTTTTTGGTGCCCTATACTGTTCTAGATGCTGGTACCTCAGCGCGTGGTCTTCACTCAAATCGGGAAGCCTTCTACTTCTATGACACCACAGCCTGGACTTAATTTTGCTGCCGAAAAATCTGGGGACCAGGTCGTTGGGTGATACGTTGCAAGGGTTTAGGGTTTAGGGTTTAGGGTGCAAAGAAAGGGGCTCAAGGGCCTACCTCTGGCGGGTTTTCAGGTATATATGGTCGCGCGCTCGGCACCCCCCCCCTTCCCCCCCCAAAGGTCAATGGTCAGGATATAGGGTGCCCTCCCCTGTGGTGTGGGGTGTGGGGTTCCTCTTCCCCCTGTGGGTGCTTGTGGGGTTTTGGGGTTTAGGGTTTAGCTTAAGCTTTTGAGCTTTTGGTTTACGGCTACAAGGTATAAGGCTTCGAGTCGACAAGGGCTTAGGGAGGATTTGCGGTGTATGCTCTGCTTTGGGCTCAGAGCCTGCAGTTAGGTGGGGTTTAGGGTTGGGTGTAGCGTTTTAAGTACAAGTTAAGGTTGCTCAAAACCGGGGCACGCGCTGCGTCATAGGGTTTACGGCTTGCTTGCGAAGGGCTTGCGCGTGAGCCCTGGCCGCCAGCACCACCCCACCATCCAGTGGCAGCTCCAACGGCCCCAACCCCTTTCCGCACACGCCAGGCCCCCCCTCCCCCCCACCACTGTCAGACCATACCATTGCGTGGGGGGGGGGGGGGGGGGGGCTGGGAACGCCAGACGCCTGACCACATATATATATATATATATATATGTATATATATGTATATATATATATATATATATGTATATATGTATATATGTATATGTATATGTATATGTATACGTATATGTATATGTATATGTATATGTATATGTATATGTATATGTATATGTATATGTATATGTATATATGTATATGTATATGTATATGTATATATGTATACATACATATATATATATATATATATATACCCTAAATAGATATATATATATATATACATATATATATATATATATATATATATATATGCATGCTTGAAGGGTTTCGTGTTCGTTGGGTTGAGGGCTTATTTGGTAGTTTTGATTCGAATACATCTTGTCAAAAGACTGCTGGGCCTGTGCAAGCGAATTTGCCTCCGGACTTGAACACTCCAGGTCCACAACCTTGACCATCCACCGTGTTGCTTCCTGGTTGTTGGCTTTCCGAGTCATTCTGCAAATCTTTAGGTTCGATAAGTTCTCCGCTATCGCTTTGCTCTCGATGTGCAGCACACTCCATTTCCCAGCACGCTGAAGCCTAAGCCTTGGCTGCTGAAGCCGAGCTGTAGAAGCAAGGCGCCGAAGACCCTACTACCGAGGCACGAAGTCTCAGTCTATTGGTGTAGGGTTCGGGAGGTTTCATTATTTCCCCCGCTGAACCCGAAGTCCACCTACATCGCAGAAGCCTTCAACTCTATAGCCCGAAGTCCCTGTTAAATCGTATGTACCTATGGTCTCCATTGTAGTTCCTTTTGGGGGTTACCTCATAGGATCCATAATCTATAATTGGTCAAACCAAAAAAGGAACTACAATGGAGACTATAGGTAAATCCGAAAAGTCGCCACAATCCTGAACTCCTTGCGAACACTTCGAGATCTTCCGCTTCCTGATCCTCTTCACTTCAACCGTCGGGGGGCCAAGCATTGATTGCGGTTTGAATATATGCGCTTACAAAAGGTAAGATCTTGCTGCTTTTTTCATGTAGTTCTCACCTGAACGTCTTGCATACATGTAGTTCAACTTAAACGTACACCCTTGCCCCTGAATCCTAAACCCTAAACCTAGCCCGTCCAAAGGTGTCCGTCTGTCCTGGCGACTGCTGCGACTGGAGAAAGGAGTTCAAAGAAAAAAACTGGCCCCGGAACCCTAAACCCTAAACCTAGCCCCTGAACCCTAAACCCTAAACCTAGCCCCTGAACCCTAAACCCTAAACCCTAAACCCCTAAACCCCTAAACCCTAAACCTGGCCCCTGAACCCTTAGACTTCGATTTGCTCAGGGCAGACCCAACCGCATAGGAAGGAAACTGTACCAGGGCCTTAGAGACTGGACCCACAAGGGGTTTCCTAGGGTTCCTTTAAAGGGGTCGATAAGGGTTACTATAAGGGGATCCATTGGGGTCGTTTGGACATAACCCGTCGAACTCCGAAACCAATGACAAGCTAGTTGCAAGCAACTTTGAGCTCCCAAGGCCTGGCCTCCCCGAGCCCAAGACCCTCTATATGGGAGTTTCCGAAAGTTAGGGGGTACCTTATTTTGGAGTCCTTATAATACGGATCCTACTATATAGGGTATTATACTAGGGTCCCCCATTTTCGGAACCATGTAGACCTCCCGCAGGATTAAGCCCGAACCGTGTCCTCTGAGGCCCCGAAGCATCTTTCGCCGCTGGGCTCGCGCCGGCCCGCCACGCCGATTCGACTGCCGGTGTTGCTGAGCCACTTCGGTTGCATTCCCTGAGAATCCGGCACGGTTCAAGTTTTAGGGCTTAGTGGCTTAGTACTCAACACCAAGAGGGGGTATCCTTGTACACAATGGATACATTATGAGTGAGTAAAACAAACGCAATGCCGGGATTTGGAATCGCTGCTTTGTACCCTGTGGGTTTTGGGGTGCCATTCTAGTGTTTTGAGCAGATAACGAGTTGGCAATTTGTGGTTTTGGTTTGCTTTCTTCTATGTCAGGGATATATCTTGCTACGGGGAGGTAGCTTTGTGACACTGTGTTTGCGGTTTAGAGTTTTAGCCTCGAGGGCCCATAAGTCAATTTATTTCGTGTTTTTGAACAAGGTTCCATGCTGCTGCTCACTGTGAGCCTCGAGATCACTAGACGTCGGATTTTGGTCTCTATGGGATTTGGCAGGATCGGGTATTGACCAGGTCGCGCTAGGAAACAACCGGACAAGTTGAAAACAACACCTTGGAAATATACGAAGTCGGAATACTTTTGTATTATTGCCCGGTTGTAGAAACTATATACATTTTCACAAAACCAGACCCCCTATAGGCCCGATTGCACGTAGATCCTCATTCTCAAGATAAATCAGAAGTCAGAAGTGTCACGTGATTCCTGATTTCAGGGTTGAGGGTTTAGGATACGTAGTACGGTTGAAGATATAAATCCTAAACTATGGGAATTACGGTATATTCCTTATTGTGGCTAATGCAGGATTTATATCATCAACCGTAGTTTGGTGGGAGCTTTGGAGGGTAGGAGATTGTCAAATGCTTGGACGTAGCAGCCGAGTGTTTTCGAGGCTGGTGCGATGGGGATCCCAACCACCCCTTCCAGGCCCAAGCCGACCGGTCTTCTGGGGGGTGGGCAGCTGTAGCTTGTGGGTGTAATATATGGGTAGTTGTCAAGATCAGGGTCCCTTTTTGATCCTTATTATAATACGGCACCTAATATTTAGGGTACCCAAAAAAGGACCCTAACTTTGACAACCACGCACATAGGGGTCTAAATAATGAACGATTGCAAATGCTGTTTCGGTTTGTTGATTATGGGTATGTATCACATACCCCCCAAATTTGAAATTGTCAAGGCCCCAAGATTAGCTTTTCAGAGATCTTTTGGGCTTGGCGTTGAAGAGGTTTACTACTACTAGGTGGCCGCACGGTTTTTCCGGTTTACCACAATTTACAGATGAAGGCTTATTGTCGAGGGTTTAAGCATTCAGTTCAAATCTTACCACACCTCGAAACCTCATTCTAATCATTAATGCCCCGCCATTACCTTAGCAGTTTTGGCCCCCCAACCCTAAAACTTTAAACCTAAACCCTAAACCAAAACCCTAAACCCTAAACCGTAAGCCCTAAATTAAGACCCTGTTGGAGCCCTGAGAGGTCCGAAGCTGCAACGCTCCCACACCTCCGCTAGGAGTAGGAGGTTCTAATTCACTTTTTTGCTCCTATAGAGGTGCCTATGAGAAGAACCCTAAACTCTAAACCTCCTTACAGTAGAAGCCAGAAAGTTGAAGCATCATTATCCCCATGCCCTTAAGGCAAAGTATAAGGGATCCTAGCACAAATCGTCCTAAATCCATGTTCCAACTTTCCGGCTTCTACTATAAAGGAACCTGAAGCCCCTTGAAGGGCGACCCAGAGGAGAATCCCTCGTGCACCCTATAACGGTTCCGATGTATAAATGCCTTTAAGGGCCTAAAGCTTAAACCCTAAACCCTCAACCCTAAAACCTAAAATCTGGACCCTAAAACCTAAAGCCTAAAGGCTAAAGCCTAAACCCTAAACCCTAGAACCTAAACCCTAAACCCGACCGGAGGAGTATGAGGAGCTGCCGCTCTTCTTCCACCGGGACTTCCGAGAGGCTTCATTTCTGGGACCAACCCTTCGGGTTTTGCTTGGACCCTGACAAAGGGTTTTGTTTGGCCTAACAAACCTAGAGTTTAGGAGCCCTAGAAAGGTAGGGTTTTCGGGTTGGACCCTAAGGAACCCGAGGCTTAGGAGCCCTAGAAAGGTAGGCTAATCGGGCTTTGTTTGGACAATAAGGAACCTATCCTCTCTTAAGGACCTGGGTAAGGAAATCGCAGCAAGGAGCCCTAAGAAAGGTAGCAGGGTATTCGGGATTCGGGTAGGTTTTAGAGCTGGTGCAAGTATCCGAATGGTACGGCAAGGCTCTACGGAGTCATGTTATCAGACATTTGGGCCCGAAGACAACTCTGTATGATGTTGCTGAGCTATTTGCACCTTGCGGGTAGGGTTCAGGTGCCAGAACCCATTCAGACAATGCTGCTGTTTGTGCATTCGGACGGGTCTTCTAGACAAGTAAACACATGAACACAAACTATGGCAATCTACCCTCATAGGGATACACATATAAGGGTACATGTCCAAAAAGGTTTGGCATTTTGGGTTACGGGCAGGGTTTAGTGATCTGTCAGTATGTCCCAGTTACGGATGTTTCGTAGATGTCATTCGGAGCCCCGCTCGAATTTAGCACAACATAATTAAGACGCTTTAACCTCATTCTCTGGGGGCCAAACAATCTGGAAGTTCGCCACTAGAGAGTTCGAGAGGTCGTGTGTTTCAGGGTATGCAGAAGTGGGGGTGTGCATGAAGTCTGATGAAAAGGCTTTTCTCCCCAAAGAACGACTCGGATAAGGGTCCCACCTCACAGTACCCCTACCTATAGTCTCCATTGTAGTTCCTTTTCTTGGTTAACAAGATCCTCTAATATAGAATTGGTTAACCAAAAAATGGTTAAAGCACCCTTGGAGTTTCCTTGGAGCGATGAACGCCAAAGCTTCTGGCGAGGTCATTCGTCACGACGAGGGTCATCTGCCTCCGACCTTCAGGCCATCTGCAGGGCTCCTTATTACAGTCATAGTAAAGCATAACATAGTATATCATAGTACAGTATGTCATAGTACATCATAGTATAGTGCAATATAGGGCCTCATGAAATAATTACCAATACTGAGTACTGTTGGGTTCCTCATTGAAATTATGGAAAAGTAGGCCCCCCAGCCTTATGCTAGGCCGCAGACTATCCGTCTACTCTCCGTGGGCTGGCTTCTGTTTTACGCGTAGGGTTGAGAGTGCGTGGCCGGGGCATACTGCTTGACACGGGTTTCCAAGGCTATCGTGTTGGGGTTGAGGATGCGAAGACTATGCTGTGGGTCACGAGGGCAGAACCCACTCCACACCATTGACATCAGCACGGAGGGTGTGCTGGGAAGAGGTGCGCGTCAGCATCGACCTTATAAGGAAGCTGGGCATGTGCAGTCGCCGAAGATGGCATGAAAATGAATCTTGTGCGGGTCCACAATGGTAAGAGACAGTTGGACGGGTGCATATCCGAAAACCTGCACGCTTCCAGAACCCTAAACCCCAAAACCCTCAATCTAAATCCTAACATCCTAAATCCTAAACCCTAAACTTTATTGGCCGTAAACTCAACTTTCAACTTTTGGGGTTCTTATAAAGTATTCGATTCTGAAAGTTTCAACTTTTATTTCCGTGGGTTTTGTGCCAGTGAGAATGAGAAACCCCAAAACCCTAAATCCTAAACCCGAAAACTCTAAACCCCAAACCCAAAAGCCTTGGTAACTCCGTTGGAGCCTTGGTAGTCTCCTGGCTTAAGCAGCCACTTAATCATAACCGTCACTATGAGTAGTCAGTGCCTCACCCTGGATAGCTGTTCATCAACCGAAATCCTTGTTTAGCCCCCAAATCTCGAACCCAATGCCGAAGAGCCCAAAAACCGCAGCCCTGCAAACTCAAAGCATTAAAGTCTGGACCCTCGAACCCTCTTTAGCCCTAATCCCCAAAGTGAAACCGATGCTGAAACCGACCTGCCCAATCCCGAAGCCCTAAACCCTAAACCCCAAAGCCCTAAACCCTAAACCCTAAACCCCCTGGGAGGAAGGGGACAGAATCCTACGACCGCTTCGCTCGATTCCTTGAGGCGCCCGGCTTAAGAGTCCGGATTGAGGTCTCTTCTGGGGTTAGGGGTCGAGCCTTTTTTGTTGGGGCTTGGGGGTTTAGGGTTTAGGTTTACCTGTAGCCAGAAAAAGACCTACCTTTTTTAGGAACTATATACAGAAACCATAGTAAGGAACCCTCAAAGGGTACGTGGTAGGTTTTTCCGGCTACAGGTAGGGGTTTGGGGTTTCGGGTCAGGGCGAATTCGGATTGCATTTGGGGTCGAGGGTTGACGGTGCACGGTTCCGGCTTCAGATCCAGGATACATGAGCGTGTCCCCATAGCAAGGAGCCTGCAAAAACCAAGGGAACCTACTGGGAGCCCAAGGGAACCCAATGGGAGCCCAGAGGACATCCTGAGTGCTGGTGGCTGACTTTGCAGACATCACCTATAGTCTCCATTGTAGTTCCTTTTGGGGGTTACCTTATAGGATCCATAATCTATAATTGGTCAAACCAAAAATGGAGACTATAGGCGAGTTTCGGAGTCGCAGGATTGATTGGTGCCGCGTTCTATGTACTTCTGCTCCTAGGCATAGAGAAGGGCAGTGACATGTACCACGTCATGGTTACTGAGTCGCCGGGGTTAACGTATGGGTTGTTAATGCTCGGAGTTGTTTGGGGGAGTCAGGTTGTCGTGATTTACTGCTTGGGCTGTGTCATGCGGAACTTAGGATTTCGGATCAAGAGGAGCGAACATGGCGTCAAGCTGGTTGCAGTAGGTGCGGGATCGGAGGTGTAATGAAGGGCATATTCAGCAGAATAAGGGTGCAGGGTGTGTCTGAATATCGCATATTAACAAGGGACGATGCAGAATGAATGATATAGGTTGTTATCCAGGAACCTATGTTGGGCTCTTGGATTTGTGGCTTAAAGTTAGGGGTTCAAGTGGTTTAGATGTCGCCAAGAGCTTCCAAATTACATTTGGAAGATCGTGATCAAGCACTGTAGTTCTGACCCTGATCGTTAAAGTTTGTGTCGTGGGGTTTCATGTGTACCTGCAGCGGAAGCGCCCCGTGTATTTCGAGTCGAGAGCAAGCTAGGATGAGAAGAATTACCGCAGGAGGTGGGAGTCCGTTCCCTGTAGATCCTCATCCAGTCAGTCTCCCCAAGGGTCCAAGTACCCAATAATCATATACTCTCCAAAATCCTAACCTACATAACTACTATATATCCTAAAACCGAGTACCTGGACCCTTGGGGGGTCTGAGACCGGGTATGGAGGCAGTAGAGCGCGTGTACAAAACTGAAGGAGAGCTGCCCAGGCATGCATAGTTGCGATACTGGCAGTCCCAAAGGCTCCATGTACCTTTATAGTAGATACTTAATAACCAAAGTAGTCCCTATATAGGTACTTTAAGGCCTAAGTATATACTACATGGGTACATGGAGCCTTAGGGAGTGCTATAGAAGTTGCGTCGGCCCAACATAAGCCACGGAAGCCTTTTACGAAGGACTCCAGACGAATGCTGCAAACCCAAGCCCTATGACGCCCCAACCGAACTTTGCGCTTTCTGGTGCAGGCGATGCAGCAGGGAGACGTCTTCGTTCCCACCGACCATAAGGAGTCGCTTCAAGGGCTCCGTCATGGGAGTTTGGTGGCTTCAGGGATGTTGGTTTAAGCGCTGCGCCTTCAAGATGGTTTAGGCCTTCAGGGCTTCGGGTTGGCCTAGATCCCCAATAGCTAACCTATAAACTTGCTGGGTTCTTATAGTTTAGTGGGAATCGGAAAGTTCGACCTTTTAAATCTGCGGCTTACTGGGGTCGTAAGCTGGGGGAACACCCTCCACTCACCCTGAAGGAGAATCCCGTCAAGATGGTTCAGGGTTAGGGTTTAGGGTTTATGTAGGGTTTATGGTTGGGGTTTAGGGTCTACAGGGTTCACCATTTACTCACCCAAGTATCATTATGGTATATACTTAGACCCCCCCCATAATACCCTATAAGTATAATATACCATAATGATACTTGGACCCTCTGGGTATGGAAACCCTATAAGCCCTAAACCCTAAACCCCTAAACCCTAACCGAAGGAGAATCGACAAGTGGCGAATCTTTTCCTGCCGCTGCGCCGGTCTCCGGCAGTGTCGAGACCACGAGGACGCAGGCGGCTGCAGGGTTTTCAACATGGAAGTTATCGGGTTTAGGTTTTCGGGTTTAGGTGTTTTAGGGTTTAGGTTTTTTAGGGTTTAGGATTTAGGGTTTAGGTTTTTTCGGGTTTAGGATTTAAGGTTTAGGTTTCTAGGGTTTAGGATTTAAGGTTTAGGTTTTTTAGGGTTTAGGGTTTTAGGGTTTAGGCTTTTAGGGTTTAGTTGCTTTTGGGGTTTGGGGTTTCAATAATTACCGATACTATTCGTCACTGTTCCTTGTCATATTAAAAAATGGTACAGTATACCCCCCCAAAGCCATACTACAAGTATAAAGATGCTTCAGACCCCATAGATTGTATTCTAACAACGAAGGTTGCACAAGGCCTTATCAAACCCTAAGGGTCAATGTACTCATGTATCGTATATTTTTGCCTTAACGCATTCCACCATAGATACTTTGGGGCTAAAGTATATACTCTTTGGGCACATGGACTCTTCGGGAAAGGTCTCAGGTTTTTTGTGGATCTCAGAAAGCATGCGGAGCAGCTCGGGGTTGACACGGGAAGCCTAAAGGCTCCATGTACCTATGTGGGAGTTTCCGAAAATAGGGATACCTTATGTTGGGGGTCCTTATAATAAGGATCCTACTATTTAGGGTACTATATTAGGGTACCCTATTTTCGGAAACCCCCATGTATAGTATATACCTAGGGCTGAAGGTAAACCGGTTCATGCCTAAGTGTATGTACTACATGGTGCATGGGAGCCTTGGGGGAACCTTAGGTTCTTTTGGTAGCACAGCTTTATTTTTGAACTATATAAGGGTCCCTGGTTTCACGAGACCGTGACGTAGGAGCCGGATCCCGCACTATGCAGAGAACACAATACCCTTAATTATGAGGGATGGAGATGCCTGGAGTCACATGAGGATCCTCATCTGATGCTTAAAGTATATTCCGTAAGTCAGGGGTATACCGCCGCATAGCATAAGATAGAAAGACAGAGATCCTCATAAGTATGATGTGGCATATTCCTGGATCTTGTTGCGTTTTGCTCCGGCCTCTTTCTTGTGCTGGCTGCCTTGCTAGCCTAAATCCCAAACCGCCAGACCCTAAACCCCCAACCACAAACCCCAAACCCTCAACCCTAAGCCCCAAGCCTACACCCTATGCCCCAAACCCCAAGCCCCAAACGACAAACCCTAAACCCCAACCCTAAGCCCTGAACCCTAAACCCGAAACCCTGGCCCTCAACTTCACGCCCCACACTCTAAACCCTGGACCCCATCCAAACCTCGAAGCCCACACCCTAGACCCCCTGAGCAGGCAGGAGTCCTTACCCGAAGGGTCCAAAGCACCCAATAATAAGGTCCTCGGTTTTAGGATAGTAGTTCTGTAGGTTAGATTTTTGGAGAGTATATGCTTATTAGGTACTTAGACACTTGGCATTATGGCTGACACCGACTGACGAATATCCGACCGACCGCCGCGCTCCAAGCCCCAAACCCAAACCCTCACCTCAAACTGCAAGCCCCAAATTCCGAAACCCGAACCAATAAAGCCCTTAACCCCTACACCTCAGAACCCAAACCCTAAGCCCTAAACCCCGAACCCATAAAGCCCTTAAGCCCCTAGACCTCAGGCCCCAAACCCTAAGCCCTAAAGCCCTTAACCCAAAAGGCGCCTACTTGTGGCGGCCGTGCCGGGAGGGTCCAGCGAGGAGGAGGCGTTGGGTTTGTGTCAGGGTCTGTGGGGTTTTAAAGGGAGTTTAGGGTTTAGAATTTTAGGGTTGAAGGTTTCCGGGTTCAGGGTTCTAGAGTTTTTAGGGTTTAGGGTTGGGGTTTAGCATTTGTCTTAGGGTCGAGAAATAGTTCTGGCTCGGTGATGCCGACTTCATATTTCATAGAAGTCGAAAGGCGTTGTAGGGATTTGGGTGTTGTTAGGTCTGTTAGGTTGTGATTTGAGATTTTACAGGGATATTCTAGGACCCAGAGTAGGCCCTTATTCCCTTGTTTTAGGGTTAGGTTCCCTGATAGCCCCCTTTAAACCAAAACGGGCACCCTTTTATTCCCAGGTCACTCTTAGGTCGAGTAATGTAGAAGGCCTTCATGAAGGTTCCTCCAATGCCGACCTGTGAGTGTGTGCGGTTGAAAGTGAGTTTCGGGTTTAGGGGTCTTGGGGGCTAAAGGGGTCCAGGGTTTAGGTTTTAGGGGTTTGGGGTTTAGGGGTTTAGGGTTTTTGGGGTTTGGGTATAGGGGTTTAGGGTTTTTGGGGTTTGGGGGTGAATTACCGGTTTTCCTTGGCATATGAAGGGCATTTAGATAAGTGGCTGTTGAGTATGTTGCACGTGTTTTTGTGTGCGCCCTATAGATCCTACGACCCTACGACCTGTGGATGCAACAGCAAACTGCTCTGCAGTCACAACTGGGGTTTAGAATGCTGTTGGTGTTCGGTTTGGTTTGGAGCCACAGGCAAGCCTTGCCCCAATCCTTCATCAAAAACCTTAAAATCTATCGTTCTTGCAGGCTAACTACATCCAGGGCTTGGAGGATGCGGTTGCTCGCGGCGAGCCTGGGCGAGGGTGCAGCATGAGTTTATGTAGTTACCGGCTCTAGTTTTTAGCTGTAGGGGTTTGGGTTTAGATACCTCAGGCTTCCTCGTTGCATGCACACTATACATTGCACCGCAAGACCCTAATCGAATCAGTAGGGCCCTATATGTCCTATGCCAGTGTCCTATGCCCTATTTCACGCACCTGGATAAGAAGGCCTTTGGCCGTAAGCCTTATCATATACTCTCCAAAAGAGTAACCCACACAACTACTATCCTAAACCCAAGTACCTAATAATTGGGTCCTTTGGACCCTTAGGGTAAGGCTCGAGGGAACATCAACCGAGGCGAATCGGATTCGGCGCTTTGGAGTTCAGGGCATTGTGGGTTTTGGATACTGGGGTTTGGGGTTTAGGGGGTTTAGGGGGATTTAGGGGGGTTCGGGTTTATAGGTTGGGGCTTAGGGGTTTAGGGGTTTGGGGTTTTGAGGGGTTAGGGTTTAGGGAATCTTAGCTACTGGGGTTTGGGGTCCAGTTGTTCACTAGGTAGGCGTGGACATTTCATCTCTCCCTTTGTTGGGCGTAGGAGGATCTTCTTTACGAACATTTTGTCCGAAGGGCTCAAAGGGCGAACCTCGAAGATCGTGCACCCCTCCTCCGGGAAGCTTTTGTGTCTGGACAATGGTGCGCAGGATCGTCCCCGCCCGACGCACGAGAGCACGACGCACAAGCCGGAAACCCGAACCCCAAAACACAAACAGCCCAAAGCCTTCCAAGCCCCTCAGCACCCTGCATTGAGCGGTAATGACAAAACTGCAGGGGTGCTTCCTCTGTTTTCGGGTGGGGCTGGGTTCCTCGGAAACGAACTCTACTGCAAAGCCAGCACGATCCAAAAACCCTAATCCGCAAGCCAAAGCACAAACTAACGCCATCAATTCCACAACTCGAACGCCCCGCAAGAGACCCCATGGCTCGAATCCAGCCTTCTTTAGAGACCCCAAAGCCCGAAAGCTTAGAAGAAACTCCAGAAGTCCTGGAAGCCGAAACTCTCAAACCCTGAATAGTTCCCAAGCTCATTACCCCGAAGCTATCCTAGAAAGCTCACCCCAGAACCCTAAAGTCCATCCTAGCAAGCAATGTCCCCACCTAAACCCCAAACCCTAAATCCTGTTAAACCCAAACCGTAAAACCTAAGACCCAAAGAAGCCCAAGGAGATGGTATAAACATGTATAAACCCTAAGCCCTCAATCCTATTAGACGCTAAACCGTAACCCTAAGCCCGAAAAAAATGTCCCGACACAAGCCCGAACAAAATGCTAAGCCCTATACCCTTATAGACTCCCTATAGATCCCTTTCAAGAGACCCATATACCCCTATAAACCCTACTTAAAGGCTCATGGGACTTAGTAACTAGGGTTATAAATAAGGTAACTATACTTATACTTACTTATAACCCCAATTAGGGGACTTATAACCTTACTTACTAAGTCCCATGATCCTCTAAGTAAACCCCCAAGGAGATGATCGAGCTGGAGGCGCAACCCTTCGTGCGGATCGGCAGCACGCCGGATCCTCTGGGACGCGCCTCGGAAAGACGAAGATCACAAGGAGTGAGTTTATGGTTTAGGGAGTTTAGGAGTTTAGGGTTTAATTGCGGAGTTGAGGGCTTAGGGAGTTCAGAGTTTAGGGTGTTTAGGGGTTTAGGGTTTAGGGTGAAGAGCACAAAGGGTGAGTTTGGAGCAGTACTAGTGTTAGTACTAGTACTAGTACCACCACTACCACAACCGTCACTGCCTCTGCCTCACCCTCTGCTTCTGCCACTACTACTACTACGACGACGACTACTGCTACTGCTACTGCTACTGCTACTGCTACTGCTACTGCTACTGCTACTGCTACTGCTACTGCTACTGCTACTGCTACTGCTGCTGCTACTGCTGCTGCTACTGCTACTGCTACTGCTACTGCTACTGCTACTACTACTGCTACTACTACTACTACTACTACTGCTACTACTACTGCTACTACTACTACTACTACTACTACTACTACTGCTACTGCTACTACTACTACTACTACCTACTACTACTACTACTACTACTACTACTACTACTACTACTACTACTACTACTACTACTACTACTACTACTACTACTACTACTACTACTACTACTACTACTACTACTACTACTACTACTACTACTACTACTACTACTACTACTACTACTACTACTACTACTACCCTGCTACTACTACTACTACTACTACTACTACTACTCCTACTGTGATGCAACATGATAGTCAGGTGCACGGCTGATGTCTGAGCTTTGCCTCGTGGGCGCTGCGTCTTGACTGCTTTAGATGACTTCTAAGATTCACCCTAAGGGTCCATGCGCCCAAATTAGTAATTACTTGAGCCCCAAGTACCAGGAAAAGAGGGACTCCACCAGAAGTACATATTGCATGTATGTACATGTACCCTTAGGTGACGTAGGCTTGCGGTAGGTTCTTCGTCAAGCAGCAGAGCTCGATAGTTCGTGGCTGTTTGGCCAGGGGGCCTGCAGGGCCCATGCTTCTGGAGCTTAGTGGAGTGAGGGATGTGTTGGGCTTTGCGGGCTTGTGAGGGAAGCCCATGAAGTGCAGCTATAGTTAGTATGTCTCGTACGAACGGGTTGTTTCATGTTTACGAATTTAAAGTAACGCCGGCAAGACCAAGGATTCGCAAAAACACTACAAGGCAGGATGCTCTGTAGAGATGTTAACATAAGCCCCAAGTCGCCCCGGCAATGACTGGCGATCCCCTTCTGTAGGGTTTAGGTGTTTAGGGGTTTAGGGATAAGGGTTCAGGGTTTAGGGGTCTAGGGTTCAGTTTACAGGGTTTAGGGTGGGAAGTCGCCGGGAACAGTCTACTTACTCTTTGGCTATCAATCCCTGAACCACAACTAAGGCTCTAAACCCCAAAGTTTGATTCCGGCTGCCTGCCCTGAACCCTAAGCCTGTAAACCTAAACCCTGCCAGCAGATGACAAGCCTGATTACCATGGCTAGTACGACCAGGCGTTGGTTTGGGCTTGTGCGGCCGGGTCTTTGCCAAGGTCATCACGGTTTAGGGTCTGGGTTTAGGGTTTAGGGTCATCACCACCAAGCTCCCAAGACTATGATCATCATGATGATGCTCTTCGTTGCGATGGCCCCCCTGGCCATTATGGCTGGTCGCTAGCCAGGAACGGTTGGCACAATTGGAGATGCTGGACGTCTGAGTGCCTGACGATGGGACAGTTTCCGCAGTGACAAATTCCAAGACGATGGAGTTGACAGATGCCTAAGTCCGATGAACGGCCAAGGCGAACCCAGATGTTCGGTTTAGGGTTTATAATATAAGGTTTGGGGTTTAGAGCCCAGGAATTGTAAGTTGAAGGCTTCGCTTTTGTTTCACTGCAGGGCCCTCAGGGGTTCAGCGTTAACGGTTACCGTTAACGTTTCATGCTGTGCGGTCGCGACGAGTCTCCGCAGGAGTGACGGCTGCAGCTCATCATTTAGTGACAAGTGCAGTAGAGATTCCTCCGCTCCCTGTTACCCAAAGTTTAAGCCCACCAGGCTAGACCCCTTCACCCCACACCACCCAAAACCCAAACTCCTGACCCAACTTTAAGCCGTAAACCATAACTTTAGACATAATTCAATTCCCAAGCCCTCAACCTCTAACCCTAAACCCCAAGCTCCGCCCAAAGACCACGGAGCCTAGGAAAGCTTCGCGGTGAGTGCCGGGGATGTAACGGTCCAGGTCCAGGCTGTGGCATACAGCGAGGATCCTGCGAAGACTGCTTGCTATTGGGGGCTTGGTGTTTAGGACTACAGTAGAAGCCGAAAAGTTGGAAACCCAATAGCCTCAATCGTTAACAGTCATGTATAGGGAATACCAGCACTATTTGTCCTTAATCCGGTTTCCAACTTTTTTGGGGTGTACTATAATTAGGGCGGCATACGACGAAGATCCCGTGAAGACTGTTTGAAGCCTAAGGTCTGACCCAGACTCCTTGTTATGATTTTCTTGTCTATTACCTGAAAAAAGTCGGTTGCGGGGATCCCAGGTTAGGGATGTTTGTGCTTCTGGTTGTAGGATGGTTAGGCTTAATTACTTAAAGGCTCATGGGACTTAGTAACTAGGGTTATAAATAAGGTAACTATACTTATACTTACTTATAACCCCAATTAGGGGACTTATAACCTTACTTACTAAGTCCCATGATCCTCTAATTATAATGCTTTAGGCTTAGGATTTCGGGGGTTCGCAGGTTTAGGGTCTCCGGCCTCAGGGGTTTAGGATCTAAGTTCATGCAAAATCTCTGGGATTTCCGCTTCTTAGGGTTTGCGTCTTAGGACTCCCGTGTTTAGGGAAGGAGGGAAGTTCCGTGGATATTAACTTCCGGGTGTTCCTTAAAAACATTCTTCGTCTCTCTTCGCATATACACCCAAGGGTTTCTTCAACATAAACAAACGACTCAGGCGACATGCTTAACTTCGACGGGACAAACGTTTGAGATTTCATTGTTCATGCTCTTTGGGGATTAGAGCTTCAGGTTTAGGGTTTAGGCTTCCGGGGTTTACGTCTATTCTGCCACCTTCTTCTTCTTGGACTGTACAAGGGAGAACGTGCAAGCAAGGGGCCTTTTAGGGTTTGGGGTTGAGGCCCGTGATATATAGTGAAGACCGCAAGTAGCAAGATCTTTGCAAAGACCTCGCAGAAATCGAACCCTGATTTGTGAGTCCTGCGTACATTCACCCTGCCCATGATCGCATGATCTCGGGATCCGGATAGACAACCATTCCACTAAAGGTCCATGTACTCAGTTTCAAGCCGTGTTTTTTGTTCCAAGCATTACATGCAACAAGGACTCTCTTAAAGAGTTTTGGGGGGGTCCTGGTAGAGCCCTAAACCCTGAGAGTATATACCCTGAGAGCCCATGAAATATGATACCTTTAGAGTACCCTTCTGGTACCCTTAAAGCACCCTTAGAGTACTGGAGTACCCTTTTCGTAGTCCGAAAGTACCCCTAAACCCAAAGCCCCAAAACCCTGAAACCCCAAATCCCAAGGCCCCAAACCCGAAACTCTAAGCCCTAAACCCTAAACCCTTAAAGCACCCTTGGAGTACTTACGGCTACCGGGGAACCTACCTATAGTCTCCATTGTAGTTCCTTTTTGGGGTGACCTTGTAGGATCCCTAATATAGAATTGGTTAAACCAAAAAAAGGAACTACAATGGAGACTATAGGTAGGTTCTAAGTCTCAGAGGAGCAGCAGCTTTTCGACTGGCACCCCAGACCAGGCTGGTCGTTTCGCTAAACCCTGTTTAGGGTTTGTAGTTTTTAGGAGTTTAGGAGTTTAGGGGTTTAGGGTTTGTGGTTCTAGGAGTTTAGGAGTTTAGGGTTTGTAGTTTTAGGAGTTTAGGGTTTAGGGGTTTAGGAGTTTATATAGGGTTTGTGGATTTTAGGCGTTTAGGGTTTAGGAGTTTAGGGTCTGTGATTTTTTGGAGTTTAGGGTTTATAGGGGTTTAGGAGTTTAGGGTTTAGGGTTTGTGGATTTGGGAGTAATTTGGGGGTTTAGGAGTTTAGGGCTTAGGGTTTAGGAGTCTAGGGGTTTAGGAGTTTAGGGTTTGTGGTTTTAGGAGTTTTGGGTTGAGGGGTGTAAGACTTTGGGGTTGTGGGTTTAGCGGTTTGGGGTTTGGGGGCTTTGGGTTTAGGGTTTAGAGGTCTAGGGTTCAGGCTAAACCCAAGCCATTTCTGGCATTGCAGCTTAAGCTTTGGAGTTAAATGTTGTTGAGGACGTGAGACAAGGCTTTAGTTTTGCTTTTCCAGGTCATTTTTCAGGGTCCAACCGAGGTTTTTGGCCTTAAAAGGAACCCTAAACCCTAAACCCTTTAGTTTTGGTTTTGTGCCACTATCCCCAAGCTAGTTCTGATCCTACCATCACTCATGCAGCTTGTATCCTGGGTTTCACTACTCGACCTCGCAAGCCAGTAGCCATACACCCTACATCAGCTGTACTTACTTGCTTCTGGGAAGGGGTTGAAGTGGGTTGATTGAAGGAGTTCAAGAGTGTTATGTTAGCTTCCGAGGTTGTAGGGTTTTTCTGCATGACCCGCAGATGAAGTGCCATCGCACCAGCTGCGTCGGCGCGACGTGATCCTGGACGAGCGCCCCGGCTATGGCTTACTCTTAAAGGTTACCCTAGGGATCTAAGGACTCATATATTAAGGCTTTTGGGCCCAAAGACCATACTATATAAGGCTTTAGGGCTGTTTCGATCCCCAGGGTTAGAGTGGAAAAGACACCTTTTGAGCCACTGACCCGACGGCTCATCAAGGGTGCTTGGGTTTCCTCGCCAGAGCGGAGCTTCTGAAATGTGAGCAGGCAATCGGAAGTATTGGGGGGGACCTTTTGAGGTGATTAGTTTCCGACCCTAAAAGTTTCCGAAAATGGGGGACCGTAATATAGTACCCTTAATAGTAAGATCCGTATAATATTATATGGATACCAAAAGATCGGGGGCTTAAGCATAACTACCAGGGCTTGAGGGTTTAGGGCGAGTAGGGTTTAGGGACCTTTCAGGGTCATTCTCCCAACCTGCTCGCTCGGTCTTTTGGTCCTTCCGATAGTAACAGACATGTCGTTCCAGGTCCGAGGTGGTTGACAGTACACGTAGTTGCTAACTTCGCAGTAAGGTTTGAAATTTAGGGTGCAGGGTTTAAAGTTGAGGGTGTGTAATTTGCAGGGTTCAGGGTGGGTTTGGGGTCTTGTTCGTTTATGCATCTAAGGAGCCACGATGCACGTGCCCGTGACTGGGCCAGGGGCTGGGCGCAACGAGCCCTCGCAGAGCCCCGCGACGACGAGGCGGGGGTGGCAAAATTCGCACATCACAGCTTCGCTGATTCTGGGCGGAGCTAAACAGTAGCGACTGAGGACCATAGGATACCGAATCGGAGACAGATACTACCCGGAAGGGGGAGGGTGGGGGGTGGTGTTCCGTGTAATTAGTCAAACTTGATACAATCCATAGATACACACGACCTTGCGTGAGGGCCCAAATCTCCAATGATTAGGTACTTGTGTAAGAAGGTAGTCGTAAGTGCACCTTAGCCTACCAAACCCTACTTTTTTGTAGGTTGATATGGAATTTATAGGACCCTACTTGTTTGTAGGGTTTGGTAGGTTAAGGTGGGTTCGTATTCAGGACTTCATGGGATTGTTAACTTGTGGACCCCTAAGGCAGGACCCTAAACCTAAACCCCAAACGCGCATTCTTCGGTTGTGGTAGTGAAAAAACACTTCACGTAATCACAGAAACAATAGCAACACGACTATAATAATAATGACTAATGATAACGTTACTGTACAAGAGCCCGCACGTTTGATTGGAATTGTCATGCTGAAGCCTTCCATATGTCGGGCCATCGACAGAGGCTCACCTCAATGACTCAAAAGTATAGGGTCAGCTTAGACTAAACCTACTGCACTTGCACCTGCAGGAGCCCAGGGTGCCCTGTGCAGCCCCACAAGCCTTGCACCCTAACGCGTTTTGCAGCACCCATATCGAGCCCTACAGAGCCATCCTAAACCCTATAAACTGAACCCAAGCCCTGGAACCATGAACAGGCTCTCTTCCTGGTCGGCTGTTGTACTGGTGCCTTTCTGGCCTTCGCGCTTGCGAGGGCCTTCATCGAGGTCGGCGGCGGGGTTCAGGGTAGTAGGATGCTTTCTAACAGAGCTTTCCACGGGGCTTGTAGAGACTTAAGCCCCAATATCCCGAAACTCTACCACCTAGATTCCAAACTTTAAATCCTAAGCCGCAGCCCCAGGTCCTAAATAGAACTACCTATAGCGTCCAGTGCAGTTCCGTTTTGGGGTTTCATCATAGGATCCTGACTAGAAGACCGGTAAAACCAAACAAAGAACTACAATGGAAACTACATGGGTGATTGTCGAAATTAGGGTTCCTTTTTGGGTACCCTAAATATTCGGTGCCGTATTGTAATAAGGACCCACACAGGGACCCCGATATTGACAACCACCCACATAGGTAGAGGCCCAAAGCCAGAATCCTCCAAAATATCACAATATAAGAGTCTATAATAGGGCTACTATTGAGGTCCTAATATATCGAAATTACGAGTATGATTCAACTATGTCTGAGTAGGGGCCGTGCCCAGCCAATATCCCTAAACACCAAACTCTGACTCAACAACAGGAGCAGGCTCGCGCCAGCAACCCCAAAACGGGTGAGTTGAGTTCTCACTGAGGAACTATTCTTCCATAGAGACGATATAAATTGACTAAAAATGCAAATACCGTGTGTGTGTATATATATATATATACACACACGTACATATAGCGTAGTATGTAGCAATTCAGTTGTGTGTTCGTATCAATACTCTGATTTTGCCTGTTCTTAAGACCCTTATGAAAGCCTGTAAAGCCTTGCCAGCATCTCATAACGGCATCATCAGGCTTCATAGCCGTCCTAACAAGATTGTCGCCAAACCCATCAAGCCCCGATGGGAGGCCTCCAAGGAACCCTCTCGAAGCCACGACAGTGTACAACAAAGTAAACTTTACCAAGCCACCAAGCCGCATGAAGTCTTAAACCTTAAACCTAAACCCTAAGCCAAGCCGATTGAAATTCATAAACCTCAGAACCTAAACCCTAGACCAAGCCGCTTGAAATTCATAAACCTTACCCTAAACCAAGCCGTACGATGTTCTTAAACTGGCAGGACTTCGGCATAACCCCGGCTGGCCTGTTCCTCGTCAACCCGACGCCACGGTCCGCGAGCCTGGTTTAGGGTTTAGGGTTCTGGGCAGGGGGAAGTAGAATAGCGTGTAGCAGCGATCAGAAATTACAGCTGCCTTATCGATTCAGCAGGTCTGAACGAGATGGTATACATACTGATATGAAATCTTATTACGAACTTCTTTATGCTTTAGTCGACATCCCGTGAACATCCAAACAGGATCATGTATAGAGGTCCTCGTTCGTGTTAGCTCTTGGTATGTTCTGATTTCCCTGCATAGACGAGCGAATGCTCAATTCGTTAAATCACTAATGCCGCGACTTTTCCCTTTGGAGTTCAACTGAATGCCTCCTGGGCAGCTTTTGGCAGTGATTGCTGTTCCAAGTAAATCATTTATGGATCCAGCCCTCCTGAGAAGGTCCACACTTACTGCCACAGTGGAACTACTCCCTGCTATTCTTCCAGGGATTACATTCCGTAGGTGTAGCATATATAAAGCAGTCGGGCTCCTAAACCCGAATACCTAATTATTGGGTCCTTCGGACCCTTAGGGTTAGTATGCAGATCGTCTCTGCTAAACCCTAACGCATAAACCCTCAACTCTAAAACCCTAAGCTCTCAACCCTCTAAACCCTCAACCCTAAACTCTAAACCCTCAACCCTCTAAATCCCTAAACTCTCTACACCCTACTAAACCGTCCAAACCCTCTAAACCCTAAACCCTCTAAGTCCTAGCCGTAGGGAGGGGACTGTCGGAGGCTACCTTGGAGCACGACGGCCATGCCCGGGGCACTGCAGGCTCTTTGAACAATGGTGGCTACTATAGGGGCCTTTAGGATTCAGAGGGTTTAGGCGTTTAGAGTGTAGGGTTCAGAGTATAGGGTTTAGAGTTTAGGGTTGAGGAATTAGGAGTTAGTGTTTAGGGTTGGGCATAGACGATATACATACTAACCTTGAGGGTCCAAAGGACCCAATAATTAGGCATTCGGGTTTAGGAGAGTAGTTATTTGGGAGAGTATATGATAGTTAGGTACTTAGACCTTCAGGTAGGGACCTCAACAATCAGAATAGGGTTCCCTCTAAAGGGACTCTGAAACAGGTCTATCAGGGATCTGGAATCGTAGGTTTCTAAATTAGGGGCTTGGCCTTAATAATTACCTATACTTTTTTGGGGGTTCCTTATTCTAAATATAGTATAGGGGGTTCCTTATTCTACTTCCAGTATAAGATACCCCCAAACCTTATTCTGTTTATAAAGGCCCCTATATTACAGTGTTTAGCGGGTTCAGGAAACTCTACGGTGAGGTTTCCTTAGCGTCTAATTTAAGGTTTACGGTTAGGGTTCTTGGGGTTCCTGAAAGGGCACTAGGAGTGTTCCTTTAAGGGTTCCACAAGGGTTTTAGGGTTTAGAGTCTGGCGTTGATTAGTCTCCATTGTAGTTCTTATTTTGGTTAGGCAGGATTTTGAATCTCAGGCCCCAAAGCACCACCCACGAGCTCAAAACAATTTCCTCAACTCCCCACCGCAGCGCCCAAATCTCACGCTCCCGAGCCCAGCATGGAATCCTGGTCCTAATCCCTCTAAGCCGTTGAAGCCTTTGTTTAGAATCCAAAATCTTGAACCAACCCCAAGCAGCCCCAAAGCCAATTAGACCCCCATTGCCCGAAATCAGTGCTAGACTGCGCATGAGACCCTGAGCACTTTTGTACCCAAAGCCTGTATCTCGACCTCCTGCTAGCGCTTCATCCCTATCAAGCCTAAAAAACCTGTACCCTACGCCCTCGCCTTAAACCCGAAAGCCCTAACCCTGAAGCCTCAAACCCTAAACCCTGAAGCCTAAAACCCCCAAGAGTTCCTAAAGTTCTTACCCAGTGGCTCCATAGTAGTTCCTTTTTGGGGATCACCTTATAGGATTCTATATATGAACCCCAAAAAGGAACTACTATGGAGCCTCTAGGTAAACCCTACAATCCCAACGGAACCCTCAGGACCCAACTCCTTGAGCTTCCCCTTACCCGAAGGTCAAGTCCCAAAAAGAAGCCTTTAAAGGAAGCCTCATAGCGACCCTTCATTTAAAGGGATCCTTTAAGAAACTATTACTATTACTATTCATTATTACTACTACTATATTACTATTATTATTATTATTACTATTACTATTACTATTACTATAACCCTTTCAGGAATCCTTTAAGGGGATCCTTTCAGGGTAAAGCCTAAAGCCCCTCTTTCCCAGGACTGCGCTGTGCACGTCTTCGTCGACGGCACGGCGACCTATGGCCCCCCTTGGCGCTACGAGGCGCTTCTTTCGGGCTTGGGGCTGTTTAGGGTTTAAAGGGAACTTCAGAAAGTTGGAATATGGTTTCAGGGTGGGATATAATTTACCATAGAGGGTTTAGGATACGTAATCATCTTCCAACTTTCTGGCTTTTACTTTAAGGTTATAGGGTTTAGGGTATACCTTAACCCTGAAGGACCTGCCTTTTTCAGGACTTATATAAGGAAATCATAAGAAGGAACCCTAAAAGGTAGGTTATTCGGGATTTAAGGTTTAGGGTTTAGGATGGTTTAGGTTTCAGGTAGGGTGTAGGGGATCGTGTTATTGTTGGTTGAGAGGTTTAGGGTTTAGGGGGTCAGGTTTGGGGTGTTAGCGTCTAGGGTTTAGCAATTTAGGTGTTTCTTTGTTTTCAGGGTCTGGGTTTCGGTTTTGGCATACGGTCAGGGGTCTTCGGTGATCTATAAGCGGTCTACTGGGTTCCTCTCCGGGCTTTACAACTGTTCGACAGGGTATTCGAATCTAGAAATTGGTCTGCTCGTTGGGCTTTGCTGTGTTGTTGTTATGATGTGCTGCTTACTCGCCGCTTGGAATTTGCCCACGGCAGATTCTATTTAAGCTACATTTTCTATCATTGCCTTGAACCCCCCCCCATTATTTACCCTCTAACATGCCCCAAATACCCGCTAGTAAGGACCATAAGGACTCTGCGAAAGGGCTCTTGGGGGGTCCCGCTGTTTCGAACATCTCCAGGTGTCGACCATGGGGTCCTTTTCGGTGAAGCGCTACAGCGATGTGCAGGAGCTTGCCATGTTTGAAGGGGCCTAAATGCTGTCTGGTAGTAGAGTAGGTAACCTTTAACCTTTGTTGGGTAGTATAGTTCCCATATAATCCTTATATAACCAAAAAGGTTAACCTTGACTTCCCCATGATACCCGACAAGTAGGGCTGTTATGGGGAATACTTCCCCAAATCCTATAATGGTAACTCCTTCTATTTAGAAGCCCTACATTCTACTATACCTAGGGGTACTTAGAAATAATTGTCAATTTTTGGTTATTAGAATCCCTAAGAAACAGCTAAAATTATATTTTTTGCTAGGGTTCTAAGTTCAGTATAGTATATGGTACTTTGGATTCTTTGGCAGGTGCTTGGGTGCTTCAGGGATCTGGAATGCACATCACCCTTAGTCTCCGTTGTAGCTCCGTTTTAGAGGATCTTAACCATAAGACTGGTTAACCGAAAAAAGGGAACTACAATGGAGACAAAAGGTAGGGTACGATTGATATTCCTAGTCCGCTGTAGGCGCTGTAGCCTTGCTGTTAGTGGTTGTTAGATTTTGCTTGCATCCGCTTCGTGCCTCCGCCTAAGATTCAGGACATGGTGCAGCAGGTTCTACAAGAAGTGAAACACAGCTGAGCGGGGCCATTCCTTGCCAATTTCACCTGAGCCCACAGCCCTGAACCTACAACTGGAAGCCTGTAACCTGAAACCGGCATTCTTCCGGTCGTAAGCCTATTTTGTAACCAGGATACCAAAAAAAACGAAGCACATCTTATGGCCGATAGCCAAACCCTCAACGCTAGAGCCCAAAGCACTAATCCCAACCCCGAAGACCCCACAACCTAACCCCTTAAACCCTAAACCCTCAAACACAGACGGCCGAGTCAGCAGGCCATAGCTACTTTCTAGATCGGTTTCGTGCCGCACAGCAGCTTGACAAAAAAGGCACGAGAAACCCTAACGTATGGGTTCGCAAAAATACACTAGAAACAGTACTCAGTATCCCTTTTATCACTATACGGGGATACTTTCGTTAATTACAGGAAACCCTGAACGCTACATTGTGTGCATAGCAGAAGTAGGGAGACCCCGCTCAACTCTAACCCTAACCCAAACCCTAAACCCTAAACCCTAAACCCTAAACCCTAAACCCTACTGAATCGCCAAGCCCTATAAACCTAAACCTGAACCAGAGGCTCCATCGTAGTTCATTTTTGGGAACTGACTTATAGGGTTCTATGTATGAACCCCCCAAAAGGAACTACTATGGAGCCTTAGGGTAACCCCTAAGTCCCTAACCTCGGAACCTAAGCTTCTCAACCAAAGAAAGTAAACTCGGGAGACTCCGTTGAAGCCAAAAATGTAACGAGGCTGCGAATGTAAGATTTTACCATAGGGCCTCCATGAACCCAAAGGCTCCATGTACCTTTATAGTAGATACTTCAGCCTCAAAGTAGTCCCTATATAGGTACTTAAGGCCTAAGTATATACTATATGGGCACATGGAGCCTTAGGGGAAGTAAAGCCCTCTAGGGTTCCGTACGAGCTTAATTTGGTGTTCCAAGGGTTCTATGAGGGTTTTGTGAGGTAGGGTTGGTGCTTGGGAATTGGGTGGAGCTGGAGGCCACAGATCCGAGGGTGCCGATCTCCAGGCAGCCTTGCATGTACGTATCCACAGGCCCAGATCAGCAAAAACGCGTTCGTATCGGAATACACAATATTATTCGTCTCTCATGTAACCGAATATCGTTATAGTTATAGCAAGTTTCAGCCTGCGCACCACAAGAGCATCGCATTCCAAGACAAGGCCCCTGTCTGTTGCTTAGGGGTTTGGGCTTTAGGGCCTGGGGACAGCCTAAGGGTTGCCCTGAGGCTGCATGCACCTTGTACAGATATGGGAGTTTCTGAAAATTCGGATTCCTTTAAAAGGATCTATATAAGGGTTCCTTTAAGGGCTCCTAAAAGGGATCTTTTAGGGTTTCGGGTTTAAGGGTGTGGGAGTTTCCGAAAATTGGGGGTACCTTAATTTGGGGCTCCTTATAATTATATAATAAGGAACCTACTATTTAGGGTACTATATTAGGGTCCCCTGTTTTCGGAAACTCCCATATCTGGAATTAGGGTAGCGGTAGGAAGGATTTAGGAGAGTCCATTAACTAGTGATTTTAGATCCGTGGAAGTTTCCTAAGATAGAGGGTGGCCAGAGCCCAGTGTCCTCTGCACTTGCAGCACACCCCCCCCCGCCCTCCCCTTTAACAAACCCAAAGGCTCCATGTACCGTTATAGTAGATACTTAAGCCCCAAAGTATATAGTCCCTATACAGGTACTTTAAGGCCTTAGTATATACTATATGGGTACATGGAGCCTTAGGGAAAATATATCGAAAACGAAGCCGCGGCTCCGACCGAGGCCCACCATCCCCTGTCTCCGGCACAGCGGCATAAGCTGGGAGGAGGCGGGTTTGTTTATAGGATCCTTAAGGGGGGGTGGTTCAAGGGGGGAGGGTACTAGGGAGCTTTGGGGAACCTTAGGGAAGCTTAGGGAGTATTGGGGAATAATGGGGATTACTAGGTTACCTACCCCCCTTGGACCACCCCCCCTTAAGGACATCCTAATTTGTGGAATTTTGGGAGCCCTCTGACCCCCAGCATCTCTGATCAGCACGAGCACTAGCACCCGCGCCACAGCCACCGCCAAGAGCAGCGGCAGAAGCAACTATAACAATACCAAAAACAACACCACTGCCACCACATACCACCACCATCACCAGCATCACCAGTTGCACCAGCAGCAGCACCAGCCGCAGCAGCAGCAGCAGCACCTGCAGCAGCCGCAGCAGCAGCAGCAGCAGCAGCAGCAGCAGCAGCAACTCCAACAGCAACAGCAACAACATCAACAGGGCTAGCACCAGCAACAGCAGTGCTAGTAAGCAGAAGGTTAACCACGATGCAGAAAGAGGACCAGTGCATGTGATCTGGCAGAGCTGGTTTGCTATGTAAACAAATGAATACATAGATTAAATGCGTATAAATACAAGTAAGTACAAACATATCTATATATATATATACATATATCTATATATATATATATATATATATATATATATTGGTGGTTGCTTCAGCTCTTCTCGTTGTCGTTGTTCTTTGATCGAGCGGGCACGGTTTCGTAATGTTGCTCTTTCCGCGCTCGCGCTGTACGCCCAGAGCCGAGGAGGTCTTGTGGGTTTGGGGTTTTCTTGCGTGGAAGAAAAATCAACTGCGATAGACTCAACCTGTAACCCTAAACCCAAGGAAATAGCAGCTCATGGCCCCTTATTCTTATTGGCTTTAAACTCAACTTTTCAAATTTGGGGTTCTGTAAGGTAGTCGATTCTGAAAGTTTCAACTTTAATTTCCTTGGGTTTTGGGCCAGTGAGTATTAAAAGAGGGTATAGTATATCCCCTAAAGCCGTAAGCTTTCCGTGGCTCAGCTGAATCCCTTCAAGCCACAATTCGGTTTTGGACTAAGGGCTTATAGGGCTATGGGTTTGGGGTTTCTAGGGTTTTTCAGGTTCAGAATTTAGGAACAATGACGTGATACCGAAGACCACTGCGCAGACCCATTGTCTGGCATTCTTCAGCCCAGAGTACAGCGTGAGCATCCAGGAGGCCAGCGGTTGGGGTTTAGTAAATTTAGGGTTAAGGACGGTTTAGGTTTAGGATTTAAATCCCAAAGGGTCCAAAGTACCGATATAGTAGAATGTAGGGTTTCTATATTAGGAATTACTATTATGGTTTGGGGAAGTATTCCCCATAACAGTACATAGGACCCTTTGGGAATATAGGGTTTAGGGGATGCGTTCAGGGTTCAGGGTTTAGTTGGCTAGGGGTTTACATAGGGGCTTTAGGCGTTTGGGAGTTTTGGGTTGAGGGGTTTCGGTTGCGGCGTTTAGGGGTTCATTAAAGTTTGTGAGTTTAGGGCTTATAATTAGGTTTAGAGGGTTTATAGGGTCTATAGGGTCTTTGCGATATGAGCATCCAGGAGGCCAGTGATTGTTTATGGTCTTTATAGGGTATGGGCACACAAGAGTTTAATACTTAACGTCTACTGCCTAGGGAGTTTTTCATTTAGGGTCTTGAGCATACAGGCTTCCGAGATTTTAGCCGCAGCCCGAAAACTGCACCCAAAAGCAATCTCACATGCCAAGGGCATTCCGGTGGAAATGTTTCGGTCCCGACAACTCATGCTAAGTTCTCGGAGGTTGAGGTTGCACGCATCTGCCAATGCTCGTGCAACTCAGGCAGTTTACGCTGCCACGGGCGCACCGCCTCAACCAGCCAGGGCATCGAAACGCTCAAGCAGATCTGGAGCCTGCATGACTGGGTTCTTTAGGGCTTAGGGTTAAGGGGTTTATAATCTTCTTTGCCATATTAGGGATCTATAGTAAAGATTATACGGATTCTTTATTATGGTCATGGAAGGCTCAGATTCTGCGCGCATGGCAGACGGCACCGGAGGCAGTGAACCAGCCGCGCCGAAGGGCAGTCAAGGCAAACCACAAGCATGGTTTCATTTCGCTGCGCCAGCCGAAATGTCATTTGCTACATTTCCTAGATTGGGCGTTTGACATCGCACATGCTCTACGTGGAAAAGACTGCAGGCATTGCAAAACCCCCTACGACAAAGGCAGTCCTCGCAGACACTGTCATCTTTAACAGAACAAGCAGCTATGTCGTGTGCTGTTCACCTGCACTAGGTGCCGGCCATCGTGCACGGATGTCTCTTTCTGGATATTTTTTTGTTGGGTTTGCGTGTTCGTGACTCTAAGTTGTTCTGTGGTTTGAGGCAGGTGGGTGTTAGGGCTTGTGCTGGTTAGTCTTCTGTGCTGCGGGGTTTAGGGCTACGATTTTCATGTTTAGCAAGCCAAGATTTTTGGTTTATTTAAGGGCTCGTGAAGCAGAGCTGGGATGAGCTTATCCGGTAAGGACTCTACAGAGTAAGCGGTAAGTGGCACAGCTCGTGTACACAGCAGTGTATATACACGGTTTGAACAAGGGCTGGAGGCACTTCCCGTGATTGCTTGGCACTGCAGTCTCAACCTGCATCACTTCCAAGATAGCAAAATTATCTCGAGTAAACCGGTAAGCCTTATCATTCGCAAGATAACATAATCATCTCGAAGACACCGGTCTTCAAGGAGCAAAGTGCTAGGCCCCAAAACCCTGAGCTGCAAAATGACAAAGCCGTAAGCCCTGAGAAAGAAAAGCTTCTGCTCCCCGAAGCACCAGCACTCTCAACCCGAGAACCTTAAGGCTTTAGGGTGCAGGGTTTCGGTCTTTTCGAAGCCCTGTGAGTGGCGAATGCAAGGCACGCTTCTACGCCATGTGCACTTTAGCAGTTCCCTGGCTGTTACGAAGGGATCTCCGAGGTTACCTGGTCCCCCAAATCCATGTGCTCAACTGCCCAAAAGCTCGGTTTTGTTGTTGGGGGTTGGGTCTTTGTACTTGTGTGCTACATGTTTTTGGGCTGAAGCGACTGTTGACGGGTGTCGATGTGTATATACTATATACTTCATGAGCACTGTGACGGGACGTACTGTTTCAGGTTCTTTGGCTTCAGTTTTCAGTATTCGCTGGAGATATACCGCAAATATCTTGCATTTACTTCCCAGACTCCCCGAAACCGAGAACCCAAAACATTCCAAAAGCCCTGCCAACCCCCCAAACGCTGAACTCGAAATGGTGTCCAATCATGCAGTCTCTTACATAGCCCAAAGGCTCCATGCACCTATACAGTATGTCCTTAGGCCTTAATGGGTGTCCTATGTAGGCACTTTACGGCCGAAGCATATACTATGTAGGTACATTCAGCGTTAGGGTAAGATCCATAAGCCGAAAGACAAGGCCGCTCTCCCTGCCCCTAAACCCCAGAACCCCCAACATCTCTAAACAGTAAGACCCCTGACCTTACCGTTTACAATGCAACGTCGTCAAGAGAATAGCGCAACGAGGAATGTTGCTTATGTTTCGTGTATGTGGTTACTCAAGCTCAGCTCGCTTGGCAACGACTCGGTGGTCGGACTTGTCCCGTCTCGCGCCTGCGGTTAACGGCTCTATCTTGGAATTGCATTGGGGCTCCTATTATTCAAAGTTCTACATACAGAGCGTGACGGCTGCCGGAGCCAGCAAGGCCTATACTATCATTCCGCAATTACGGCCCCCCCACAACCGCAAAAAGGACGGTCCTTGAATTTGGGTCCCCGCATTGCGTGATTGTATATCTTTCCTCGGGTCCCGAAGGCCGATAAGCCAACCTTTCGAGAATCCTTATAGAATCCTGATTGAAATCTTAGGCTGGCACAGCCGCAGCTCTCCTGAATGCCTTCGTACTGCCGGCAGATTAACTCGGATTTTGGTTTTAGCGTGTAGGGCTTTGGGTTTAAAGTTGAGGGTTCAAGGGGGTTCCAGGTTTCGGTTGTCTGGTTTAGGATTTACCTCCACTTGTAATACAGGGACCATGGAGTGGTTTAAGGTCTTGTGTGCGGGTGTTATCGGTTTTTGAAAATTCAATTTGCCGTTTTCTCAACCTTCAGGCAATCTGTAGGACCGAGAAAGTTCCGGAAGAGAGGGGCTTTGGCAGGCTTTGGGTACCCCAACCACAAGATTGCACCCAAATCCAGGGAGCGCCACCCACCCTGTGCTCCTTCACCGAGTTGAGCGCAGGTCGATATATGTTGTGTTCAATCTCATACCTGGGAGGAGGCCTGGTGCTGCAGGAATTCACCGAAACCCCTAAAACCTTACACCCGTTCCCTAAGGGTCCAAGTACCCAAATAGTAGGGTTCAGGGTCCAAAAACCATTCAGGGTATGGATTTTGGGACCTAAAACCCTACTATTTGGGTACTTGGACCCTCTGGGGTTAGGCTTCATGCCCCTTTGTGCAACACACAAGCCCCCACCAGTGTTCCAGTCCCTACCACTGCCAGTATACAAGCACTACCCACTGTGGGAGTCTAAGGTGTGTAATTTACACACCTTGAATTTGCTAAATTCTATAATGAATGCCTACGTTGTACTACTGTCTAATGTTGCCCCACTGAGTGACAGACCATTACATTGGGGCGAAAGTTTGACCTAGTCGCGGCTTCATAGAGCAGCGGCCCACCATTCCCCGGCAGAATCTCAACCAGCAGCACCGGAACAGTAAAATGGTGTGTGTGTGTGTAGATATTTATATTATATTCATGATCGATTATATATAATATTAACACGGAGTACAATATTCCGCTAGCAATATTTCAGCCGAATCTGCAGATTTCGCCTGAGCTCCTGTAAACTGTCCGTGTTTGTGCGCTTGCACTTTCAGGTTTGGGGCCTGGCATGCTGTAGAGCATGATGTTACCGGCATTTTTGCCCCCCGTGCGAGTCGACGGGTCGAAGCGATGCAATTCCGATAGACCGGTGGCGTCCATGCGCTCTCGCCTTTTCGATGGAAGTCCGTTGTACAGGCGAGGGCAGGCAATTTGCTTGCTCTTGTCGGGACAACTCTACAAATCTGATTGAGCTTGGAGTCAGTTGCGGGACGGATCTTAAGCACGGCTGGGGGACTCCGGCTTACTTCTGTTTTTGCGGGTGGGGGATGGTGCATCAACAGCTTCGGGTCATCGTAGTCGTAGTCGTCGTCGTAGTAGTTGCAGCAGTAGTAGCGTGGTAGAGTGTCTTTTATTGTAAACCGGAGTTCTGCAAAAAATCTGTGGTGTTTGAGGCTTCCACGAACACCGGGCCCCCCAACCCCGAATGAATCACAACCGAATGTCCCTTCCTGGAAAGATCATTGCATCTAGATCTTCAGCATTTGGGTGTCTTCAAGAGAATCTTCTAGACGGGAGCTTCTAAGATCAAGGGCGTGCTGTGGGGGGTGACTTTGCGCAACTCGCTTGGACACGCTGCAGCTGTTGTGTTCAAGACGTCCAAAACCCAAAGGGTCCAAAGTGCCTGTATAGTAGAATGTAGGGTTCTATACTCGGGATGAAACTGTCGTATATGGAACGCGACTGGCTGATGGCATCAGACCGCAACGGCTCAAAACGCCGCTATCCAACACCTGCGGCGAAGCGTTGCCACGTTTTTTTTCCGGCCGCTTCAATCAGGAGCACTTTGTCACTTTGTGGTTTTGTAAAATTACATTATTCAATCACCTATGCGTTACATACATACTTCACCAAGCAAGTTGAGATGCAGATTGATCGGTGTGCAATACAGGTATCATTTGTTTTGATTAGAAACCGTTACAGTGCGGACAATCAAGAATGCTTCTTCAAGTTGCCGGTTGGTTGCCAATGTAATTCGATAGTTATATGGGTGGTTGGGTGTTTGCCCCTGGCAGGACGAGAGAATTGCGTACATGCAGGACGTTGAGACTGTGCTGTCCAATAAGTACCCGATAAACACCTTTATGGTGAAGGCAGCACCTGGTGAAAGCTTCGCCAAACAGACTCTCGAGGGGCTGCAGGGCATGGCAGGCATGGTTGCCTTTTGCAGCTCACAATACGGTGAGAAGACGGGGGTTGGATATGAGACGTTCGAGGAGCTAAAGTATGCCCACGAGCACCAGATCCCCGTCATACCTGTGAGGCTGTGTCATGCATACCCGCCTCAACCTCAAAAGATTGGAGAAGAAGCCCCGTGTTGTTGCCATACGCCCCGACCTGAACGTGATGACTGGGGATGTGCACAAAACGAACTCGTGTTGAATAAATCCTTGGTCTACATTGATGGCTTGACTGCGGAAGGCAAGTACATACCCTCGACAGACTTGGCCGACAAGATTCATGCATCTTTGTCCAACAATGGCTTCATCCGGGAGGTCAGCAGTAGTTTCGAAGGCGATGCGTGCCAATTGTGCACACCATGCACAATCTCGTAAAGAAGTGTTTGTGACATTATGCTGAAAGCAAGGATGTGCCCTTTGCAGCATCAAATCCTCAAGCGTCATGCCAACATGGCTTTCTTTGTCCTGTCTGCGATACTTCACACCACTTTAAGGGAGATTTGATGATGCGTGTTCTCTTGAAACTAATTGCTCAATGTGACAAAGCACATTGACATTCATTCGAACGGAGCAGCGGGCTGGTGAACCCGGCCAAAGAAAAGTCTTTGCAGACACTTTGCGCTCTCTCTCTCTCTCTCTCTCTCTGTCTCGCACTCATTCATTCAGACTCCACTCCATTACACACTCCCTCCCTCACTCTCTCACCTCGCTCACTCACCTAGCTCCCTCACTCACTTACTCTCTCACTCGCTCCGTCACTCCCTTACTCGCTCGCTTGCTCACTCCCTCCCTCACTCCCTCACTCCCTCACTCCCTGACTCACTCCCTCACTCCACTCACTCCCTCACTCCCTCACTCACTCTGTTAAATGACACGAGCACACTCCCTCACTCCACTGACTCACTCCCTGCCTCCATGCACTCACTCACTCACTGACTCCGTCCCTCCCTCGCTCGTTCACCCACTCACTCCGCCCACTCCACTCCACTCCAGTGACACTCCCTCTCAGTCTCGCTCTCCCTCTATGTTCCCCTCTACTGCTTTTTTTTTCCCGGGACTTTGCTTCCACAGTTTCACATGCAGAGACAGCACCGGAAAGCCAGGTCCTGCAGCGAGCTGCCCACGCCTCCGCTGATGGCTATTCAATTTTCGTCAAGGCGACCTTAGAGTCTTCAGGGCTCACCCAAAGGCTCGATGTACCTTTATCCAGGCCGTTCTGTGGTACACTTTTTTACTTTCAGGTTTCTGGGTTCTTATCATAAAATAAGAAGCCTAAAAAGTATATGCTTATCCGAGTGGGTTACTGAACAGCCTAGTTATAGTAGATACTTAAGCCTTATAAAGGTAACTCAAAGGGGTCCCAGGTACTTCAAGGCCTATAAGTATCTACTACATGAGCACATGGAGCTTTAGGGTTAAGGGAACCCTTCAAAGAACTCGTAAAGGAACCCTACAGGAACCCTTAAAGCCTTAAATATGAAGCCTCAAGGAACCCTTGAAGGAACCTATAGGGGTCCAAAGGGCCTGATAATTAGGTACTGGGGTTTCGGAGCAGGCTCTTAGTTTGGACGAGAGTGTAGTGTATAGCCAAGTACTTGGGGTAACTTAGGGGTCGGGTGCTTTGAGGGCTTATAGTAGGCTCCTACTAGGCTTCAATGAGGGTTCTAAAGCGAATCAATATCGGTTCTTTCCCGAAACCCTAAACCCTAAACCCTACTTTGGGTTTCTGAAAGGGCTTCAGGCCGTTAGGCCCGGCTCCGCAAGGGCGGCACAAGGGCTTGAGGGCTGTGGGTTTGGTGGTTAGTATGTTGAGCTTTAGGGCTGCAGGTTTTTCGGATTGAGTTTGGGGTTCGGTTAGTAGGGCCTTGGGATTGCAAGAGCTTTCGGAATTAGCGTCACGTGCCGGAGAACTTGTGAATGGCTGTTTTGCAGGAAGTTTGTTTTCGCAGATGGCATCTTTGTGTCCGTGTGTATTTTCGCTGTTGTTTTTCTTATGGGCTGCACTCCTGACTCCTGCTCTAACACCTGACCAGTACCACTCATGGCGGTCCCTAAAAGATGGTCTTTTGGGGGATAATTGATGGGGCTGCGTACACCCGAAACTGTTTGGGTGAGGTCTAGGTCAGAACCCTATCCCTATGGCTCTAAACCCAAGGCTCTAATCTCCAACAGCTAATTTGGTTACCGAAAGGGTCCATAGACACTACGATTGTGGAATTAGGCCGTCATATGAATTGTCTTTTCAGACCTACTTCCATATAACGGAAGTATGTATGGACCAACTGGGTACAGGTTTGGGACCCTAAACCCTCAACCCTGCAACCCATAATTAGGTTACGGGTTTAGGATTTTGCAGGCTCCCGACACGGCTCTCGATCAGGCCGTTCAGAGGAGATCGTGGCGTCGTTTGGGCTGTGATACCCTACCCAGAAAGCCCCAAAGCCCTCCAACTTCACGGGCTCCAAATTCGGATTCTATGGAGTTTCACGTTTCAAGGGCTCTACAATCGGATTCTATAGGGTGTTATGTTCGTGTAGTTTAGCCGGGGTAGACTCTACATCGCCCACGTCACACAGCCTTGAAACGGAGCCTTAACCTACGATTTCTTCGAGCCTTGGAGATTGGCGATTGGGTTGAGTGGTTCAGACTATCAGATGGCTTCCATTGACTTAGAGATGTCTCTGATGTGTCTGAGGGTCCACATGTATGACTCCGTTCAGGAGTTTGTAGGCTAGTATTGAGGGGTTACATGGGTCTTGGGTTGTTGATCCCTTAGAGATAGTATGGCTTTGTGGAGTGGGCATTCCTTCTTTGTTGGGTTCCATAAGTAAGTTACAATATGGCGGCCACAAGAGCGGCCTGAGGTTCAGATGGTTTTTGGGTCTGTGGCTTGCGAGTCTCCGGGAAGTTTTGCATGCTATCTTGGGCTTCGACGATTCTCAGGGGCTTGCACCTTGCCAAGGTGCCCGGGGTCTAGGATTTTCTAGGGCTTTTGGCTTAGAGGGTGTAGGGCCTAGGGGTTATACGTTTTTTGGCGTTGCTTACAGGCACTGTTGAGTCCAGGTGTTTTACGGCTGGCGACATATCGAAGCCTGGAGAACTAACAATACTTCTCCTTAGGGCCATTCGGTTCCTTCTATCGCAATAGTAGAAGATGCCGGCAAGCCCCATTTTGAGTTCTTAAGGCCCGCACATTATGTAAGATGACTTCCGACCTGATGTACCGTGCATGCAGGAACCCTAAACCCTGAACCCCAAACCCTAAACCCTTAACCGTAGGACTCCAAGGTTAGAAGTATGGGCCCGCGATAGGGGCCCTTCGGCCCTTTAGGGGGAATCGAGAGACCCTTCAGGTCACATGTATGGTGCATAGTAGGCTTCGGCACTTAGCACAGAGCTACATTATGAGTATGACTATGGCTCTTTATGATAATCACTGTTATCTGGAAACTATGATGACTATAGTGATGATCCCTCTTATTGATAATGCAATTAGCACTGGTACATAGTATGATTGTTGCCATGTTTTTGTCTTAAAGGGCCTCTTCCCATTGCCCCTTCACTAAAGCGCCAGGGACACACTGCTTAGGCCAGGCCGTGAAGCACCCTTTAACTGTCTGGTTCTTAGTGGGGAATGGGGGAATGGGTTATGGGGGCTATCATTGGGATTATGTAGGGCTACTATAAGGATCCATTCCCCCATTCCCTACTAAGAACCAGACACCTAAGCAACGAACGACCCAACAAGCCCCTGAACGGCATAATCTGCTGTTCCTATAGATATGGCGACCAGCCTCCCAGCCTCTGTCCCAGATGGTTGTCTGTTTCCCCGTAGTCGCAGAAGGTAGTTTAGGGAACTGAACAAAAGAACCAGAAGAAAGCAACTACTATGGAACTCCATTCGAACTGTTAAGGTTTTGCATTAAAGCGCACACGGCAGCATGTTCAGGGTTTAGGGTTTAAGAGTTTAGAGTTTAGGGTTTAGGGTTTTTTGGTTGAGATCCGCGGACATCGCAGTTCTGCCGCCTCGGCTCTTGCTTGAATCCTCCGACTCTATCAGGGCTGCCTTCAAAGCTTACCTGTTAGGGATTAGTTTAGGTTTTAGGGTTTAGGGTTTAAGGTTGAGTTTAGGTTTTAGGCTTTTAGGGTATAGTCTCTTCCCTAAACCCTACTAGAACCCCTATAGATCCCCTTAAAGGAACCCTGGTACCCTTAAAGGAACCCTCTTAGGGTACATAATAACCCTAAACCCTAAACCCTTAAACCCTAAACCCTACCTGTAGTCTCCATTGTAGTTCCTTCTCTTGGTTTAACCAATTATATATACAGGATCCATAAGGTAACCCTAAAAAGGAACTACAATGGAGACTATAGGTATTATGGGCCCACAGACCATGCTAGGGAGTTTCACCCGGAATATGGGGCTTAGTGTCAAGACCCGCATCTAGACAGGAGCCTCCTGCATTCAATCCTACTTTGCCCTTAACCCGCAACTCCTGCGTCCGGAATATTTAGAAATAGCTCATTAGAATTCTGCTGCGACGCACCCCCCCCAAGCCCCTAGAATGTCCCTTATGGGACACTGAATCCCTAGGCACCGAGGCCTTTACATAAGACCTTGAGAAGCGCAAGAGACCCACATGCCATGAGCCTCGTCGCCATTGGTAGCAGCGGAGAAGAGGAGCATCTATGGTCTCCTTTGGAATTGTTCTTTATTGTTGTTCATAGAAAACCCAAGAGAATATTAAGAATACTATTTTTTATTGTGATTCGAAGGGGGGTATAGGCATGAGTAGAGTTTAGGGCTTGAGGACCTAGGGTCACTTAGGATGTTGGGCTCAGGGTTTAGGGCAGTTTAAGGTTCAGAGTGGTTTTGGGGTGGATTGAAGTTTTGGGTTGATGTTTTACGGTTCGGGTAGTAATTTGATTCAGAACAGACGATGTTCAAACATCAAATCTGGGTAAATTCCGCTGTCGCCGCTGGCCGTGATGTTCGACTTTGATGCTTTGGAGGCAGAGTGGTCAACCGTTCGGGTTTGCCCCATGTCAGAATGTGGCTCTGACTGGTATTGCTCTGTGCGTAGCTGCGAGTGATGATGTGCCATTTTCAAGACGCCGAGCCATCGCGCCTTACAGAGGCCATGCGGCGAAGAGCTAACAGTCAATCTGGGGAAAGTTTATCAATGCTGCAGAAGACTTTTGGCATTTGTAGGGGCTTATATGAGCTTGATCAGACTATGTCTGAAAGCCTGAGAAGGTGTTTCGATCCGTGCATTCGAAAAGCCATCACCACCTTTCCAGTGGCCTATATAAACCCTAAACCCTAAACCCTAAACCCTGAACCCTAAACCCTAAACCCTGAACCCTAAACCCTA